TGACCAACTTTGGACGCTTCGTTCTCAGCCCCATTTTGAGGTATTTTTATGTTTAATATATTAAAAGATAGCCCTTAATGTCTTCTATCTTTTGATATATTAAACATAAAAATATCTCCAAATGGAGCTGAGAACGAAGCGTCCAAAGTTGGTCAAGGGGGGGGGCGTTTATTAGAGGAAATACGGTAGGTAGTTTTTTTGGTAGTTTTTATTGGGTTGGGGAGAATGAGTCGGCGCCGAAAATGAAAAAAATGTCTAAAACTTCTATTCGACTTCGTCAAATAATATGCGTTTGATATGAGTAGAATGGTTAACTAATTCTCTACAAAATCACATTTAAAAGAAAATTCAAACAGCGCCTCCGCTCAAGAAAAAGCCATTTTTTCACAAAAACTACAAACTGTGATCTAGAAAAAACCATTGGTGGGATCTTCCTGCAAATTTGGCAACTTAAGTAATTCAATGTGCTCTATCTTTTTTATATAAACACCAAAGAAGGTTTATGTGAAAGAAACTGTTCAAATGATGAGTCGGACTCTTTGCCATTTTAACCAGCTGCGTTTCGAAGTTCATAAACTCCACGAAAGAAAAGCTTTGTGGAATCTCTCAAAAGTGATTTTGTAGAGAAATAGTGGATCCTTTTGATGAAACCAAACGTATGTTTAAAGAAGGCTTTATGTGTGCAAAAAGTCCCTTTAAAGTTTGGCGCCGACTCATTCTCCCCAACCCAATAGATTAACAAAAAGAAGTATTGAGCTCTTCTTCTTCAAATTAGAGAGAAAACTCTTGAGAATAACTCTTACTGATTTCTAGATAGTCATTCCATTTCTAGAAATGAAATGGAATGACTATTTTAAAAAAATAATAATACCTTTATTCTAACAGTAAGGTTTTAGAGACGGTTTTAGAGACGCTTATATAGTTTATTAAGTTGTTGTTCTAATTGGAGTCCAAGAGTTGTAGTTTTGATCTGATCTAGCTAGATCTAGATCAGATCAAATCAGATCAGATCGAGCTAGACTAGATCAGATCAAAAGCCAGCTCCAGAACTTTTGCTTAGGCTTACAAAAAAGCCAAGTTTTTTTGGTAGTTTTTAGAAGTAGTTCAATCAAGCAGTTCATCAATCAAGCAAGAAATACTTTTTATTTAAAGTAAACTATAGTTTAATTGATGAATTTTTGAATTAAATTCAAAGTTAAATCATTTTTTTTTTCCTTTTTCCTTTTTTCTTCTTCTCTTTTTCCATATAAGGGAATCGTATGCGTAGATTCCGAATTTCGACAAATCAGACCTCGCTGACACGTCAAATTTGGGCTAAAAGGCAAAAACTACGCAACTTAACGCTTTTCCGCAGTTTTTGCCTTTTAGCCCAAATTTGACGTGCCAGCGAGGTCTGATTTGTCGAAATTCGGAATCTACGCATACGATTCCCTCATCTGGAAATATTTTCGAAGCTCTACGGCCTTGCCTAAGGCCTTTTCCAGCAAAAAAAAAGGTGCGCAAATGTCCAGGTGCGCAAAAAAAAGGTCGCATTTGTCCAGGTGCGCAAATGTCCAGGTGCGCAAATGTCCAGGTGCGCAAATGTCCAGGTGCGCAAATGTCCAGGTGCGCAAAAAAAGGTAGCATTTGTCCCACCCCCGCTTTTTGATACTTTTTTGAAATCATGGGAATCTTCGGGAAATCCAAAAAGTCATAAAATTCCCAAAGCTTTTTTAAGCATCAAAAAAAAAAGACAAAAATTTTGATGGCAATACTGGGAAATGTAAAAGAAAAAGCGTTCAATTGTACAATTGAATTATCCATTTAAAGATAAATAATGCCAATCTTATATCTAAATCAATATTTGACAAAATTTGATATCTCATTTCATTCATTCTCTCTTCAATATCTTTTTCAAATATTTTATGTATTCTTTTCTTTTATCTCCTTTCTTTCTTTCTTTCTTTTTTGCTTTCTTTCTTTTTTGCTTTCTTTCTTCTTCTTCTTTCTTTCTTTCTTTTTTGCTTTCTTTCTTTCTTTTATCTTCTTTTCATCATTTTCCCTATTTTTCAGAAAACTTCAAAGCTCTTAAAGCTTTTTAATCAAAAAAATTATTGATGATATCACAATTTTTATTCAAAGAAAGCTTTTGAAAGTAGTGAAAATACAGTAATTGGAAAAAAAGAGGATGGGGAGGGGGACTAATCTCGAGAGGAAAGGGAGAGGAAGGAGAGAAAGGGAGAGGAAAGGAAGAGGCTAAAAGAAGGGGAAGGGGTAAGCATAGAGATGCAATGAGAAGAGATTTTGATGATCAAATTGAAGAAAAGATTTACTATTTTCTCTCTTCTTTCATTTCTATACTTGGGATAAGATTGGGATATTTCCGAGGGAGAGAGAGGGGATTTGACGCTTCTAAGTGATCAGCCGATTAGCTGAGTTTTCCTGGAGTTGATCTAGACAAGGATTTAGCCCATCAATTCCTGTATCAGACATCTTTTTTTAAAGTATCTAGAGAATATGTTTGATTGAAAAATTCTTAGTTAATTAGCAAGCAATTCCCAGTTCTTTGTCGAGCTTTTCGCAAAGTTTTAATCCAAATTCAAAGCATATCAACTTCTAAGTAATCAGCCGATTAGCTGGGTTTTCCTGGAGTTAATCTAGACAAGGACAAGACAAAGACAAGGACAATCAATTGCTCCAAGTAATGTGCTTCAAGTTGCCAAAAAAATCTAGAGAATTTCCTAGTATTCAAAAGATTTCTGAATATCTTTCTGTAAATCTCTAAAATTGATATCGTAGTTTTGAAAGGAAAGCTTTAGTGGGAGATGATCCCCTCTTGCCTCACCCCATCAACTCCCACATCTAATCCTTTCATCTAATACTAAATCCAGTATTTTCTTTCACAATTTCTTCGTATGAAAGAATGAAATGAAGTCGATTTCTTTTCGTTTCTTTCTTTTCGTTTCTTTCTTTCTATCTTTCTTTCTTTTCTTTTCTTTTCTGATATTTGCTTAAATCGAAAAAAGCAACAAAATTATAGCCATCTCTTCAAGAAAGTACAAATAAATAAGATACAAGTTTTCCAGAAATACAATAACATTATCGGTTCGTGCTTTGTGTTGTGGTAAACGTGTATTATCTGGCGCACTTAAAGCATATTGAGAAATCCTAAAAATCATAGCATATTGAGAAATCTTAAAGCATATTGAGAAATCCAGAAAGCGTACATTTTTGAGAGCATAAAGCTCACTGTACTCACCAATTTTCTCACAATAACTCTTAAAAACCATGCTATAGTACCGTAATTGTGATCCCCATTTCTGCACTCAATGAATTACTTTCTCGAAACCACAAAGCATCGAGGCGATATTCGCGGCATTGTGTGAGGATAATTGCCGGAAATTCGATCCCAACTTTTTCCTCATTCTTTCTCTTTTCATCTCTCACCACTTTTCGCCTCACAACTGACTCTTGCTCACCCATAGATCTATCGATAGAATCAAAGGGGAAAGAGTTCATGGAAAGGGGACGGGTCATTGTTTTCATCTTACCCTTCTTCTTCCCCTTCCTGTTCTTCTTCCTGTTCTTGTTCTTCTTGTTCTTGTTCTTCTTGTTCTTCTTGTTCTTCTTCTTGTTCTTCTTCTTCTTCCTCTTCTTCTTCTTGTTCTTGTTCTTCTTCTTCTTCTTCTTCTTGTTCTTCTTCTTCACCTACTTGTCCTTTTTCATTAGCTGAATGGCCGAAATTTCAATCCTTGTTATACGTTCTCCATCCTAGTCAAATTTTGGCTACTTTAGATTGATTGGATTGATTAAATGAATCGATCAAGTACTCTTAGCAATTGATCGATCCAATGAACAAAACTTTACACTTCTCTAGCTATCATCCCATATTTAAATATCTCCACTTCGTCACATTTTTCTCCAATTCAAAAGAGTCTTTTCCTCATTTATCTTCAGCTCTTCCAAAGCTGAGCAATGTTATTCATTGACAAGTTTTCATCCATTGTTTTCTCCAATAACCCAAACGATCGCATCTCCTCAACTCTCGTAGTTGTAAATCTCTTGATCATTTCCTTTCCGATCCATTTCCTTTTGATCCAATTATCATTTGAAGGGCGCACAGGGTGTAGAATTTTTAACGGACAGAGGAAAGGATAGGATAGGATAGTCAATCACTTTTTGGCGAGAAAAAGAGGAAGGGGGGAGGGCTAGGCTAGGCTTTTATGGGCATCGAATTGATAGCGAGCCACAGGAAAGGGGAAAGGGGGACCCTGGAAAGAGAAAGGGGTAGAAGAAGATGGAGAAGAAGGAGAAGAAGGAGAAGAAGGAGAAGAAGAGGAGAGGGGAGGGTGCCTGTGATCACCCCTCCTCTCCTCTCCCCTCCCCTCCTCTCCTCTCCCATTGCCGGGCGTGTGTCGATCGATTGGGTCTCTCTCGGGAGGCGCCCCTTTCCCCCTTTCCTCTCCATTTCCCCTTCTACCCCTCCCCGGGCCGCCTTTTTGATTACAATCGTTTCGTCACATGAAAAAAAATCATAGCTTTTCTCTTTCTCATTTCAATTTTGATCTTCTTATTTATTTACTGTTTTGTTTTTTTTTATCGATTGTTTTAATCGATTGATTATTTTACTTTATTTCTATTTTAGGCATTTCCTTTCCCAATTGGATCAATCTTATTGGAAGCCTCTTGCCGAAAGAACAACAACAACAATAACATCTTGAAATCATTCGTTTCGGTGAGTTTGAGAAAAGAATTGTTAAGAATAGAACTCAAAGTGATTTCTCTCTAAAACTAGCACTAGCAAACTAGCAAAATCTGAGCAAATTCCAGACTCAATAAACTCCTTTAGGTATGCTTGGTTAGTGGTCGTTTTTTTTCCTTTGAGTGAGTGAGAGTCGAACGATCACTTTGTCTTTTTTTTTCGTTCTCAATCGGAACATCGAAGTGACTCGTCCCTCTTTTTCCACTTTTCTCCGATTTCTCATTCATCGCCAATCATCGGCATCTTCTCGAAAACTCATATGGCCACTACTGATAACAATCAAGGTTTGGAAGTCTTTTAGAAATGAAAGCAATCTTTATAATTCTTACAGGACAAAGCACTTCGATGAGTCAACAAAATGCGTCCAATTCAAACCAGAGTCGATACGCGGAACGGGTCGTACGAAGTGAGTTGGGAAGGGAAAATAGACTGTTCCTGAAGGGGGAAATAGACTGTTCACAGCACCTATCTATCTGAGCGGGTTGCCAGATGGCGAGCGATTACCCGGGAGCACAAAGAACATATCGCCAGTCACAGATTTTTGGCTTTGTAAATGATTCCCAAATAAGATTTAGTGTTAAAAATTGTGCCTTAGGGTTTTCATGGTCGTAGAATCTATTGGCAGTGTTTATTTTAACCCTTTTTTTCCAAGGAAAGTCCCCAAATGAATCGAATTGGGTTTGGGTTTTGTATCTGATAGCTTTTCCCACTGAAACGATCCGAATTTCCGAGAAGAACTCTTCAAACAGGAGAAAACTATGCTTGATGTCGAGGCCCCGGTGACCGTTTATGGGGATATTCACGGGCAATTCTTCGAAATTTATTATATAATTTTAACCCCAATAGTACTGTACAATATAGAAAATTCATTTGTTTATCCAAATTATCCAAATTATCCAATTGATTTTTCAGATGTTCAATTTCCGATCTCTGATCGTCTCACTGTTGAGCAGGTCTACGATCGTCGATCCAACAAGCCAAGGCCAGAGGTGCTCAAAGAGCATTTCGTGAAGGTGAGTCAAAGATCTCTAGATAAATATCTCGAGATAAATATCTAGATATATATATATCTCTAGATAAATATCTACCTTTACTCATCAATATTCTTTAATTCAATTTGTAGGAGGGTCGGATAGACGAAGAGGCAGCGATTCGAATCATCCAGGAATGCAGTCAGCTCTTCAAACAGGAGAAAACGATGCTCGATGTCGAGGCCCCGGTGACCGTTTGTGGGGATATTCACGGGCAATTCTTCGATCTCATGAAATTATTTGATGTCAGTTATCTCATCATTATCATTAAGATAGAAATTCTTAACCATTTCTCCATTTCTCCATTTCAGGTAGGCGGCTCACCAGCAAATACGAAGTATTTATTCCTCGGCGACTACGTGGATCGTGGATATTTCTCAATTGAGTGAGTATTAAAGAACTAAAGAACTAAAGAACTATAGAACTAAAGAACTAAAGAGTTAAAGATCTAAAGAACTAAAGAACTAAAGAACTAAAGAACTAAAGAACTAAAGATCTAAAGATCTAAATGAACTAAAGAACTATAGAACTAAAGATCTAAACAAATCAAATCATAATTTCTCTAAAATCTCCATTCAGATGTGTTCTCTATTTGTGGGCGTTGAAAGTCTGCTATCCGACGACACTTTTCCTTTTGCGTGGAAATCACGAGTGCCGACATCTCACCGAGTATTTCACGTTCAAGCAAGAATGTTAGTATCATTCAAGAAATCAATAGACAAATCAGCGAATTTCTAGGTAAGATCAAGTACTCGGAGCGTGTCTACGAGGAATGTATGACGTCATTCGACGCGCTTCCCCTGGCCGCATTAATGAATCAGCAATTCTTATGCGTGCATGGGGGTCTTTCGCCCGAGATTCACACCTTAGATGATATCAGAAGGGTATACAAATTGATCTTTCATTTTATATTGTTATTTTTATTGTTTTCAGTTGGATCGTTTTAAAGAGCCACCAGCTTTTGGTCCAATGTGCGATTTATTGTGGTCAGATCCGCTCGAGGATTTCGGGAATGAGAGAAACGCTGAGCAATTCAGTCATAACTCAGTTCGAGGATGCTCATACTTTTACAGGTGAGAAATGGCTTTATATAAGTACTGTAACCTATCGTAGTTATCAGATATCAGATATTAGAGATACCAGATAGACTCTAAGCCTCTAAGAGTAGGCTTTTGCTGAAGGTTTTAGGGGTTACGATAGGTCTCTAAGAGTAGCTGAAGCTTTTAAGGGTTACGATAGGCTAAAAGGCGATCAAATATAGTAAATCACTACTACTTCTACTAAATCAACTTACAGTTATGCGGCTTGTTGTGATTTTTTGCAGCAGAACAATTTGCTCTCAATCATTCGAGCTCACGAGGCACAAGATGCTGGGTAAGTTGAAAGTTTATGATATTTATCTTTAAATCTTTAATATTTATCATTTAATGCTTCTTTTTCAGATATCGAATGTATCGAAAATCTCAAGCGACAGGCTTTCCCTCACTCATCACAATATTTAGTGCTCCCAATTATTTGGATGTATATAACAATAAAGGTTTGTGAGAGAATCGAGTTCGAAAAAAAATCGTTTTGCAAATGTTTAAACGATATTCGAAACGATTTTCGAAACGATAAACGAAACGATTTCTTTTCAGCAGCCATTTTGAAATACGAGAACAATGTGATGAACATTCGTCAATTCAATTGTTCTCCTCATCCGTACTGGTTACCAAATTTCATGGATGTTTTCACGTGGTCATTGCCGTTTGTCGGAGAAAAGGGTGTGTTGATGGGGAGGGATTCGAAGTTGTAAAAGAACTGATCAATAGCTATCGTTATCGTTATCCTGGCGTTATCAATAGCTATCCTATCGTTATCCTGGCTTTTTGACAGGTTGATAGGCGGCCATAAGCTCGTAGGTGGTTACAGTACTACCTGTAAGGTCGATCAGAAGCCTGGCGCTATTGTGTTCTTTTATGGATTTAAGCTGGGAAAAAAAAAACAGGCGCGACGGGATTCGAACCCCCGGCCTTCCGAACCACCTCCCGCTTACCAGGCGAGAGCTCTACCAATGAGCTACACCACGACATGTTTTGGCGGACCGTCAGAGCCTCTTAAGTATGGTCTATGATAAAGAGAAAGTAATTAAGCTTCTTCAAAGATTCCCCTTTTAGTAACGGAAATGCTGGTGCACATTTTGAATATTTGCTCGGACGATGAATTGATGCAAGAAGCTGATGACACCTTTGAAGGTAAGGGATTGTGCCGAAAGAGATTTCATTCTCTTTTTTTTTTGATTTATCAGCATTTTCACACAGTCGATTTCCCCCCTCGAATTCCCTTGAACTTCCCCCACACATAAATCCCCTTCTTTTCCTTTTCTTTCTCACTTTCCTTTTCTTCTTCTTTTTGCCTATCTCTTTTATTCTCTCTAATCACTCTTCTCTCGGCCATCTCCCTCAAAAATCTTCTCATAAAAATCACAAAGAAAAATCTCCTTCAATCACAACATCCCCTACTTCTTGAATTTAGCACTTTGAAGAATGATTTTACAGCACAATATTTAGGAAGAAAAGATTTGAGTTTAATGAAAGGTATAATATTGGGTTGGGGAGAATGAGTCGGCGCCGAAAATGAAAAAAATGTCTAAAACTTCTATTCGACTTCGCCAAATAATATGCGTTTGATATGAGTAGAATGGTTAACTAATTCTCTACAAAATCACATTTAAAAGAAAATTCAAACAGCGCCTCCGCTCAAGAAAAAGCCATTTTTTCACAAAAACTACAAACTGTGATCTAGAAAAAACCATTGGTGGGATCTTCCTGCAAATTTGGCAACTTAAGTAATTCAATGTGCTCTATCTTTTTTATATAAACACCAAAGAAGGTTTATGTGAAAGAAACTGTTCAAATGATGAGTCGGACTCTTTGCCATTTTAACCAGCTGCGTTTCGAAGTTCATAAACTCCACGAAAGAAAAGCTTTGTGGAATCTCTCAAAAGTGATTTTGTAGAGAAATAGTGGATCCTTTTGATGAAACCAAACGTATGTTTAAAGAAGGCTTTATGTGTGCAAAAAGTCCCTTTAAAGTTTGGCGCCGACTCATTCTCCCCAACCCAATAGATTAACAAAAAGAAGTATTGAGCTCTTCTTCTTCAAATTAGAGAGAAAACTCTTGAGAATAACTCTTACTGATTTCTAGATAGTCATTCCATTTCTAGAAATGAAATGGAATGACTATTTAAAAAAATAATAATACCTTTATTCTAACAGTAAGGTTTTAGAGACGGTTTTAGAGACGCTTATATAGTTTATTAAGTTGTTGTTCTAATTGGAGTCCAAGAGTTGTAGTTTTGATCTGATCTAGCTCGATCTAGATCAGATCAAATCAGATCAGATCGAGCTAGACTAGATCAGATCAAAAGCCAGCTCCAGAACTTTTGCTTAGGCTTACAAAAAAGCCAAGTTAGGTCAGACTAGAACAAGGTCAGACTAGACAAGAACTGATCTGACAGATCATTTCAGTTCAGATCAGCTGCCCATTCTTTAGAACAACTCTGTATCATCTCAACTCGAAATCCTCGCCCCTCTTCTCTTTCCCCTCTTTCACCACTACTAGTTTTTGAAAATTCATCTTTACGCACCGAAGCACAATCGAAATTCTCCAAAAATCTTCTCCATTTTACAAATTTTTCTGTGCTTCTTCTAAATTATCAGCAAAAAAAAACCTCAAAGCTTTAATGCAAGAAAAGTGTCTTATTTAAGCTGCCCCTTTCTCTCAATTTTGTCGAGATGATCTTTTTTTTTTGTTGAATACTCGGTTTTTTTTGCATGTTTATGCCTTTCTTTTTTTTTATAAAAAAAAAAGAGTGTTTTCTCTATATTCTCTCTTTATTCTTGTTTTTAGTGGGGAGAATTTTAAGGAAATTCTTTTAATTCTTTTAATTCTTTTAATTCTTTTAATTCTTTTATATCTGTGCTCAAGAAATCAAAAAACACACTGTTTTCTGGTGGATCCAGAATACCGAATTGAGTGTGCTAGAAGGGGTGTGTAAACAGATTGAGCACAGAGTAAAGCACAGAGAATGGAGCGGAAAACGAGAGGGAGAGATTGGGAGAGATTGAGTGACGAAAAAAAAGGAACAAAATTTGCCCATTTATTTTCTAGTAGTTGAAATTTAGCTTAAATTAAATATAATAAATATAAACAAACAAATTAAATATAATAAATAAACTTTATGAGAGTTAAATAAGTTAATTAAAGCTTAAATAGTAAATGCTTAAATAGTAAATCCAAATATATTAAATGCTATAACTCATTTTGACAGAGAAAAGGCATTACAAGGCATTACAAGGCATTACAAGGTATTACAAGGTATTACAAGGCATTACAAGGCATTTACAAGGCATTACAAGGCATTACAAGGCATTACAAGGCATTACAAGGCATTTACAAGGCATTACAAGGCATTACAAGGCATTACAAGGCATTTACAAGGCATTACAAGGCATTTACAAGGCATTTACAAGGCATTACAAGGCATTACAAGGCAAATTTTGTTCTTTTACTTTCATTGAAATGAGTGTGTGAGAGTGAAGTGATTGATTGAAATGAAGAAAAGATTTCTTTTTTTTTCTCTTTTTCTTTTTCTCTATCAAATTCATTTATTTATTTTCAAGCTAATGTTTCTTTTGAGCTTACAATTAGAAAATAGAAAGTAGTCTATAAAAAAAAAACTCTAGCTATAGAATGATGCTAAAGATGCTTTAGATTGTGTAAAGTTTAAAATCCCGTTTCATTTTCTAAATCTACAATCCTTAGATTTTATAAAATGATGTCAGTCAGTCAGTTTTACTTAAAAAAGAAGGTCAAAAAAAATCCCAATCAAATCCTATTCTCGTTTCCGTTCCACTTATGACATTACTGTAATCTAGTATAGTAAAACTATAGTTACAGTAAAACTATAGTTTTACTATAATAGATTACAGTAAACTATAGTTTTACTATAGTAGATTACAGTATTAGTTTTACAATTAGTTTTACAATTAGTTTTACAATTAAATTAGTTCTACAGCTATAAAAAAAATCGATTTTTTTTCTTCTCCTTTCTTTTTCTTTCATTTTTTTGCTAAAAGTTTCCATAAGATCACCGAAAATTGAAATAATTTGAGAAAAATAACCCCTAAATGTCTCTTGATATCGATATTTTGCATGTCCCAGTGTGAATTCAGAAATGAAAAGAAAAAGCGAAAACTAAACAATGCCTTTTATATCCTAATCAAATTTCTTTCATTTCTTCTCCTTTTGTCAACCTCAAATGAAATGATCATGAGCACTATGGAAAGTAACACAAAAAAAAAACACAAATACACAAAGTGTGTGAGAGTTTTGACATGATACGAAAGCCAGCAATGTTTCCTGATTGTCTAGCCAATTATGTAAAAAAAAAGACAATTCATCGACGATGATGGAATTAGTATCGTGTCGGAGTTTACTCACATACACATTTGATTGTTTTGGAGATTCGACTTGAGGAGAGCACTAGTCTAATGATGTCTTGATCTGTAATTGGCTAAGAAAAGGCATAGTTTCTAGCGTTTCTTCTTTGTGCTAAGAAAAGCGCATAGTTTCTAGCGTACAGCGCGCAGGAGAAGTTGTAGAAATATGGGTAAATCTAAGGGAAAATTGATCTCTAAGATTTGGGCATAGTGAGGCAGAGGAAGGGAAAGCAAAAGCAAAAAAAGAAGACGAAAATCGAAAGCAGAAATTCGAAAAAGCAAGCCCCTTACCCTACGGACATTTGCCAGATGGCGAGCGATTACGCTGATGCACAAAGAACGCACAAAGAATAGGAAGGCCTACCGGATTTCTACAGGGATTTTGGTGCTTAAGAGACATAGTTTTGAATCAAACAAGAACCCAATTCTTAATACAGTCTTTAATGAGTCTATTAGTGTTAAATCTATTCTAACAACAACAAGAGATGCAATAGAGTTGAGCAAGAGTTGAGCCTCTCCTCAGTCGACCCCTCCACCTCCTCCCCTCCCCTCTCCCCACCTCCCATCACTTCTCCTTCTTCTACATCTCCTTCAATGTCCTTTTTCTTTTCATTCTTCAATCTTTCCCCACTTTTATTCATTCCTTTTTTTGTCTTTACCTCCTTTTCCCCAATCAAAAATCCCAATACAAGAAAATAGATCTTCAAAAAAAAAAAAAAAAGAAAGAAAAACGAGAAAAATCTAATGTAAACCGTTTCGGGAACGCTCTACAGGCGCGGACGGTGAGTCTGTTCTCTGTGGATATAGTCTGTTCAATTATTGAAATATCTGATGAGTGTTCGATCATTTTTACATAAAAATGAACGAAACCTCATCACTTCTTTATATTTACCAACTGTCTCTGTCCTTTTTGTGTGTACGTTGAAGTTGTCTCTGTCCAAAAGCACTCATTAGAATCACCCTAAACCGCACTTTTTTATTCATATTCAAGTTCAATACTTTCACAGCTTTGAATTGCTTTGGTGGCTTTGCTTTTTGAAAGATTTAGAAATGTTGTAGAAAGCTTATCTCTGCTTTAGTCAGCTTTCAGGCTTTAGCCAGCTTTCAGGCTTTAGTCAGCTTTCAGGCTTTAGTCAGCTTTCAGGCTTTAGTCAGCTTTAGTCAGCTTTAGTCAGCTTTCAGGCTTTAGTCAGCTTTCAGTCAGCTTTAGTCAGCTTTCAGAGCCAATGCTACTAAAGAAAGACAAGCTGGCATCAAAAAATATTAAAGTTTTAATGGAAATTAGATAAAAGATATTGTAAAAGATATTCAGTTGAAGAGAATTTTGCTTTACGTTCGCTTTATTCAACTCAAGCTGCTCAAAATGCTCAAAAGTCGATTCCACAAAACTCTCAAACCCATTCAAAAGCTCCAATCCATTCAAAAGCTCCAATATTTTCAAAAGCTATAAAGTATTGCTCTTAATATGTTCACTCTATCCACTTCACTCTTTTCTTATCAATTCTTATCAGCTTTCTTTCACAAGGCTTTCTTTTTCATCACTTTAAACTTTTGTGTTGTCAATAGTATTCAAATCTTTTAAATCTTTCCAATATCCAAATCTTTTCATTTCTTTACTCACCCTTTTAAAAACACCTTTTCGCTTTCATCTATCACTTTTTTGCATGCAAGACTTTATGATGAGATAAAGTGGAGATTTTGTAAAGATTACTGTACTTTATTAATACTAGAATACTGTACTTTAGTACTAGATAACTGTACTTTAGTACTAGATAACTGTACTTTAGTACCAGAATACTGTACTTTATTAGTACTAGAATACTGCAGCATACTAGAAGACTGTAGCATACTAGAATACTGTAGCATACTAGAATACTGTAACATACTAGAATACTCTAGCATACTAGAATACTGTAGCATACTAGAATACTATAGCATACTGTAGATGAAACTATGACAGATTAAACTGTACTGCAAGCTTGACTATTGTAGAGTTTCGGCAACCAAAGACTATTTAGATTAGACTTTTCTTTTTGAAGATTTGAAGTGATCTAACTTGAAAATCTCTCACAAATCTTTTCATTAGTGTAATGTCTAAAGTGTATAAGTATTACAGTATAGAGACTACAGTAAATAGCTTAGAGCTAGACTATAGTTATTTAGACTAAAACTTGAAGCTAACTCAAAGATCTCTCAAAAATCTCTCCACTTGATCTTTCCTTCCATCTGTATCCATTGTAGTGTCGTCTTTATCGTGTCCTCCTATCTCTTCATTATCATCAAATGATCGAAGAGATGTCCATTCTTCAATCTATTCTGTGATGTCACTGTCTGTTCGGTCCTCGTCGTTTCCTGGTTCGTGTCCGCCAAAAACAAGTGATTCAATTAAGAGTCATCATTGAAAGAAATTTGGAAAGATTGAAAGCTTTTGATTCTTTTGATACTTTTAATTCTTTTAATTCTTTTGATTCACTAGTTATTTGAATGAAGACTCTTAATTGATCTCTCTAAAACAACAAAGCCTTAAAGCCAAATCTCCCAAGCACTAACTCTAACTTATCAACGATCTAAGTCTAAATATCTAAGAGGAATTGTCTAGTTCTTAATCTAATCTAATTCATAAATTCTTAGATCTTAGGCTTTTAGTTCTTAGGTTTCTAGAGCTTAAAATCTATTATCTAGAAAAGTTTCTAGTACTTAGTACCTAGATCTAATGAAAGCATTCAAGGATTAAGACTTGACTTCATTTGACTTGATCACTAGCTGCTTGACTTGACTTAACTGCTGAAAGACTTGACTGCTTTTAAAGCAAGCTAAATATTTAGACAAGCTTAAAGCAAGCTAAATATTTAGACAAGCTTAAAGCAAGCTAACTATTTAGACAAGGTTAAATCAAGCGAACTATTTAGACAAGCTTAAAGCAATCTAACTATTTAGATAAGCTTAAAGCAAGCTAACTATTTAGATAACTAGACATTCCCTAAGCAACTCTAAAACTAAAAGAGCTTCAGTAATCCCAAATCCGCTAACTCGTGCTTGATTGGCTTTGTCCTTGTGTGTGCATATCATCCATCCTCTCCCTCCCCGAAATCTCTGAAATTCTCGACCTAGCCCCCCATCGACACTCACACAACATCAAGAAACACACATCGATTCTTCTCCTCTCATCCCTTTTCCCTTAATCTTATAAGGCTGACAGCTTTCCCGGATACAAACCCGTTGTTTCCCCTTTCCCAATTCAAAATAACATCATTTTATCCATTAGCCGGCTTTTTTTACATTAATGCTTTGTGGTAGACGGTCTCTTTTTTTTTTATTTTCAAATCTCCACTTTCTGACCTTTTTGGATTTGTTTTTACTTTAGTTCTGATTCTATCCTTGAATCGAACTGGCTCTTTTTTATTTTGGAAAGCTTTAGTCTGGTGCTTTTGGTGGGTAGATTGAGTTTCGATTTTTGAAGGGATTTCTCTTTTTTGCAAGACTTTTTGAAATATTCAGTTGAAAAGGCTAACTGCCAAGTGATAGAGAAATTCAAAACATTTTAGTACAAGCTAGAAGTAATACTTGTACTAAAAATAGTACTTGTATTAGCCTTGAGTACTAGCATTGTACTTGTACTTGTACTAAAATAGTACTTGTATTAGCATTGATTACTAGAATAGTAAAGCCATAGAATAGAAAAAGAGAAATCCCTGAATGAAAAAAGAAATGGAGTGGGAGAGGAGTGTGGAGGCTGTTGAACCAATTGAAGCGTTTTTTTTTTAAAAATTGCGCTCAGGGAAAAGCTACCGTATCCAGACATTTTAATGATTTTAATTACGGTATCTTTTCTTTAAAGTGGACTTTTTGAAAGAAACGATTCATTTGACGGAAACAGTCTATATGGGAATGAAATGGGAATGAAATGGGAAGGGGGAATCGCCATTCTCTGTCACTCATTTCTCACTCTTTTTACTTCTCCTCTCGCTTTTCACACTCTTTATATAGTATCTAGATATAATTCTAATATATAGAGCTATATAAGAGTTATAGATAGAGCTATATAGCTCTATAGATAGCTCTATAGATAGATCTATAGATACACTACTGGACAATGAAATATGATATTTGAAAAAAGATCGTCACTTTCGCGTGTCTGTAACTCCATTGTCTTTACCGTATTTCTAAATATTAATATTACCATTGTGTAGCCCTTGAAAAGAGCTTTCAGAAAATGTATAACACTAATAGTTTAAACTCAAAGACAAGGGAGTTACAGACGCGCCAAAGTGACGATCGTTTTTCAAATATCATATTTCATTGTCCAGTACTGTAGCTCTATATATAGCTCTATAGCTAGCTCTATAGATAGCTCTATAGATAGCTCTATAGATAGCTCTCTAGACAGCTCTCTAGACAGCTCTCTAGATAGCTCTCTAGATAGCTCTCTAGACAGCTCTATAGATAGCTCTATAGCTAGCTCTCTAGACAGCTCTATAGCTAGCCTCAGACAGCCTATAGAGCCCATAGCCAGCGCTCTATAGCTAGCCTCAGACAGCTCTATAGCTAGCTCCAGACAGCCTATAGCTAGCCCTCAGACAGCTCTATAGCTCTCTAGACAGCCCTATAGATGCTCCATAGCTAGCTCTCTAGACAGCTCTATAGCTAGCTCTCTAGACAGCTCTATAGCTAGCTCTCTAGACAGCTCTATAGATAGCTCTATAGCTAGCTCTCTAGACAGCTCTATAGCTAGCTCTCTAGACAGCTCTATAGCTAGCTCTCTAGACAGCTCTATAGATAGCTCTATAGCTAGCTCTATAGATAGCTCTATAGCTAGCTCTATAGATAGCTCTATATATAGCTCTATAGATAGCTCTCTAGACAGCTCTCTAGACAGCTCTCTACATAGCTCTCTAGACAGCTCTATATATTAGAATTATCTCTAGATATTTCTAGCTCTTAGGCAAGCAAGTGTCAATGCTTTTTGAAAGATATTGTGAAATTGAGCTGTACTAGAGAAATTTGCATACAGAAATAGATTAATTGCTAGATAGAATTGCTTGAATATCTTTAGAAAACATGACTCTATGTGATTGTATGCAAATTTCTCTCCTTGCTTGCTTAATCGCCTTTTTTTTCCTTTGCACAACTTATTGATGAAATCCAAGCAAAACCTTTCACAAAAAAGCTTTCAAAACGTGACCGTCGGGCAAAATGTGTCGAGAATTTCAGAGAGAAAAAGATAAAACGGAATGCTTTTTCACTATTTTCATTTGATTTTTTTTTTGGGCATTTCTCCCTCTCATCTACATATTAGAGTTTCATTTTATGGTGGAGTTTTTTTTTTTTTTTTTTGGTGATTCTTAAACCCCACCTTTTTTTCCGATTTTCATTTTGCCTAACGATCACGGCTTTTTCCTTGACCACAAATCGAAATGTTTTCACGTTTTGGGGAATTCATGAGAGGGAATTTTAGGTGGCGTACCATCGGCGAGAAAAGAAGTCATTCGTACAAAGATACGAGCTATTGGCAAAATGGCAAGGGCATTCTCTGTACTTCGGTATGTTTATAAATATAGATTTGATACGGTAGAAATTTGTTGATACAGTAGAAATACAAAACTGAATATCTAATGATATCTAATGATATCTAACGATCAGTCAAAGTTGATTTGTCAATCTGAAAGTGTGTCAAGCAATCCTAGAATCCTAGAAGGATCTACTCAATTTGCCCGTCAAAAAGGAACATACTTCTTTACTTTCAAAGAGCCTAGAACCAATCTGACATCAGATCTGTACTAGAAATTGGAAAATTTCAACTCAAACCTAATTCCACCTTCATTTTTTTGGCCGATTCTTGGCCGAATCCTCTGAAATTTTGTCTACAGATAGAAATCGACATCAGCTTGTCAAAACGGTGCAATCGGCTAAGAAAACAAAGGTGGAATTAGGCTCAGCTTAGAATTTTCTTATGTCTAATCTGTACAAGGATAGTAAACCAGAAAGCCTAGTGAGAAAGCCTAGCACACAGTTCAAGAACCTTTTATACAAGTACACAACGAATTGACGCTTCGTCGATAGTAACATTAGCAAATTCTTTCTAACTAGCCATCTAAAAAGAATTTAGAATCTTAAAGATAGATTTGATTTATAATTTTACGGTTTATTAGTATAGAGTTATTAGTTATTAGTATAATATAGAGTTGTTAGTTACTAGTATAGTATAGAGTTATTAGTTACTAGTATAATATAGAGTTATTAGTTACTGGTATAGTATAGAGTTATTAGTTATTAGTATAGTATAGGGTTATTAGTTATTGGTATAGTATAGAGTTACTAGTTATTAGTATAATATAGAGTTATTAGTTACTAGTATAGTATAGAGTTATTAGTTATTGGTATAGTATAGAGCTATTAGTTATTGGTATAGTATCGAGTTGTTAGTTACTAGTATAGTATAGTTATTAGTTATTAGTATAGTATAGAGTGAAAAGGAAGCTATATTTATTACAAAAACGTCAAGAGAAACATCAAATGATCATCGTTTTTTTGCAAAAAATTTATTAAACTTTTGCAAATGCAAGGAAATAATTTTTAAAAGATTGAATTTTAATATAATTATACCAAGTTTTACCAAGACAAAGAAAGCGACGGAAATTAAATGCAAAAAGGAATGTAATTTTGAAGGGAACGTACGCGAATTTTAGCCAATTTTAGTCTGGCTTGCAAAAAATATCTCTAACTTCATTTTTTTGCTCCTGAAATCACCTAGTGACTCCAAAAAGTGTGCCTTACTTGTACTCTTGATTTGCATCTCCTAAAATATCAAATTTTTTTGAAGCTAGCGTAATCTTGTCTGTAGTTCTATGAGCATTTGAATTTTGAAGGGAACGTACGCGAATTTTAGCCAATATCTCTAATTTCATTTTTCTCTAAATATTTCTACTGTATCAACAAATATAAAAACTAGATTGAAAGCCGATTTTGTGTGACGAGTGTTATTTGAAACTCACTCTTTGCTCGAAGCTCACTACTTGATGTTGATTTTGAGAGAATAATTTCAAATAACTCTTCAACAATAAGTCTAATCTCTGAATTATTATCTAATAAAATTCGAGAATCTAAATCAAAAAAAATTAACAAAATGCGTGGAAAAATTTGAAGGGAAGAGTCGGAGACGGTGCTTCAATTGAAAGGACTCACGCCAACGGGCACACTTCCACGGGGAACGCTCGTCGAAGGGAAACGTGGCTTACAAGAGGGTATTGTAATAAGGGAAAATATTCGAAATATTCGAAATGATCTATTCGTTGATTGCTCTCGAAATTTCCCCTCAAATTTGTGTCCCTGTTTCATCAATGAGATCTCAAACGTGTCTGTCCAGAGTGAAGTTTTTTTTTTGCCCGCGTTTGACATTTTTACATGACTAATAGCATCAATCGGCGCTGATTTTTTGAGAGTTTAAAAGTAATGGAAAACTATCTAATACTGTCTAATTACAGTAAACAATACAGTAATCTGATTGTACAATTAAATATTGTTCATCTAGTATACTGTAATTATACTGAATTTGATCGTTTTAATCGTTTACAATATTCAATTTGATCGTTTTAATCGTTTACAATAAGTACTCTAGTAGACCTGTGTACTTTGTGCTCAAGAAAAAGACAAACACATACATTCTGGTGCATCATTCAGTCCATTTGTTCATTTCTAGCGATGTCTTGAGTCATTGAGTCCATTCAATGCACCAGAAGTGTGCATTTGGATTTTGTAGAGCACAAAGTACTCAAACAAAAACAACAAAGAAAAACTTCATTCATTGACAGACACGAGAGTGAGACAGTTGTCCAACTGAAGGGACTGCATCCGGGCGGAAAATTACCTCAAGGGGTCCTTTCCGGTGGAAGACAAACGCTACAAGAGAGTAAGTTCAGAAAACAATGACTACTGTACTTGGAAAGTTTTTCTAGATTTTAAAATTTCGATCAGAGCAATCAACGATCCATTTATAGTACACCTTTTTATTTATTTATTTATTTATTCATTTATTTATTTATTCATTTATTTATTTATTTATTTATTTATTCATTTATTCTCTCAATTTAGCCCTATCTGGTTTCTCGCCCGGCCACAAGATTCAATCATTCGACGAGGCGAAAAGACTCGATAAAATCAACGAAAGAATGCCACCAACAATGGGGCAACCATCACCGGGTAGTTGTGTAGAAATGTTGATTCTTAAACAATAAATCTTGTTCCAGGTAGCTCACCCGGTGGATCACCATTACCAAGAAGAGATCACGATAATCCATCTCCATCTAATGCTCGACGCTAGATAGGTGGTGAGTTCAATGATCAAAAAATTAGATGGTTAAAGATTTGGATAAAGTTAACTAGATATTTATTAGGGATGCGTTTAACTAGTTAACTAGTTAACTAGATAGTCAAGGTAGCAAAAGTTTTTGTAAGTCAAGAAAAACCTTGACTTGATGATTTCCCTAGTGAGCAAATCCAAATTGTAGCAAAAGCAAATTGCAAGTACTAGAAGTTTCCAGAAAGCTAAAGAAAGCTAAAGCTTGTGAAGTTGAAAGTTGGAGTTGAAAAACATGAAGACTCCAAAACAATTTACAGATTGAGCACAGAGTCATCTCTTCTCATTTTTCTTTTTAATATTAATGTGTGAGGCGATCGACGAAGCCTAGGCGCATTTGCATACGGATATGGCGATGACTTTCCTTTTAAAAAATTTTCCCTTATTTTTTCTTTTTCTCAGAAAACACATAGATGAGTCTGTTTTATGGTTTAATTGCCACATTTTACCATTTCTTTTCCCTACAATTTCCTCTTTTTTTTTTTTTTATTTCTTCTCCAAACTGTCCCGCTCAAGGCGGTTTCCCGGGCTTTGAAACCGCCATATGAAAAAGAAAAAAACTCTATAAATTGCAAATATTTTAGCTTTTCTCTTGTCATATCAATGGGAATTAATCTGGGATAAGTGATTTTAAATCTAAAGTTCCAACGCTTATCCACTTGATTCTCATTGATTAGATCCATTGATCATCCAAAAAAAAAAAAACAAAGCACACACACATTTCCCACTCCGAATCGTTCTCTCACATCTCGTTGCCTCGTTTATATATTCTGATTATAGTTAGTTGACTTTTTTTTTGGCTTTTTCTGGTGTATTTGATGGGTTTCTTATATGGGGAAGGAAAATGGCTGGAGAATGGTTTGAGTACTTTATTTGTATTGTGCAATTGTTAGACGAAAGTTTCAAAACTAGAGTTTGTTCTAAGCAATGCGTTTTTTTAAAAAGGACACTTGGAAAAAAAGTTATTAAAACATTTTAAAAATTAAAATTACACTTGGGAAAAAAACTTTTAACGACAATTATTGCAAAAAAATGGCGGAAAAATCACGAGCGGCGAGTTATATACGACTTTTAACGACTTCTTTTAAAGATATTCAGTCTATTAACTGCTTTGGTGGGAAATCCCCTTCAAATGTAAAGATATTCAGTTTACTCGACGTGTAAAGAGGATTACTCGTTGTTATTCGGCAAATTTCGATTATCGAATAATTATTTACTAGCAAGGAGCACTCTAGTATAGATTTTTCCTCTAGTATAGATTTTTCCTCTAGTATAGATTTCTCCAAGCTTTTCCAAGCGCATTAAGCCTTTCCCAGCGAGTCCCATCAACATATAAGACATCCATCTATCTACCACCAAACCTTTTCTCTTCTCCATTTCAATGCCATCATCAATTTTTCTTCTTCTTTTTTCTTTTTCTTCTTCTTGGTGATACCGAGCATTGGGTGCCCTTTTGTGTCCGAAAGTGGCTGCTCGGCCCGTTCCCCCAATTTCCTTTCGATTTCCATTTTTGTATCTTCTGACAGCTATTCTCTTCGTGTTTTTATGTACTCTAAACCATTTCTTAAACTCTTTTTCATTATCGTTTCATTGGTGTTTTCCCAATTTTGCTCTAGTTTTAAAAGACTCCATATATTATCAATTTTTCCTTTTAATTTGTGTTTTTTTTGTTTCTTAAATTTACAATCTTTTTTTTGTTCCCATTTTCGCCGGTGTTGTTTTATTTCTTCTTCTCTCAAATATTTGATGTTTTCTTTGTTCTTTGATAAGTTAAAATGTGCACGATGCTGTTTCAATCTTGTCCAATTCAAATTTCTCCCCAACAACAAAAAAGTCGGCTTTCTTTTGTAATATAGCTCTCTTCGAAATATTTGAAAATTTGATTTTACCGCTTGGTGAGGGGATTTTTTTTGGGGTGGGAAATTACAAGTACAATGGGGTGAATTGGGAGTGTAGTACCTAGTCAACTCTAGTCAATCACATATAAACAACAATTAGGCAAGTCATACTGTAATCACTATATAGATAAAACTGGTTACTTAAAAAGCCTAAAATCTGCAGTATCCAAATACAGTTTGATTGGCCTTGAATTGGCCCAAATATATAAGTACTGCAACGCAAATGCAAAGTTAAGCACTCTTGATAGCTCTCACAAGTTACAAGTCAAAGAAAATCGCATCGTATCTCGTTTATGGCTTTCCATAGTAAGTAGATATGCATTAGTACTATATACTTTTACAAAAATGCCTACTTTATCATTAAATCTTAAACGACTCCGAAGATCTAAACCCTCGAGTGCCCAGGAACCAACCCAATCAACCCTTTTCCATCAACTAATAAATCAATCTTTTATCTAGATAATTACAAGTACAAATAGTTATCAGATTTGAGATATAAATCTCAAAAACTAACTATTTATCTAATAATCGAGTCTTAATCACCCTCCCCACCCCTCCCCCTCACCACCATCCAAATTTACCCAAAAATATTCCTTGATTTTAAATTTATTTCTTTTTTTTAATTTGTTTTCTATGATAATACATTTTATAAATTTATTTTTATTATTTCTTTGCGATAAATCGTTTTGAAATGAGAAATCCTTTTCAAAAAAGAAGATAAAATCATGCTTGATTCCTCAACGTTTCCATATTTGATGGGATCGGATTCAACGAGACCAACACCTGCAAAATGTGAAAATTGAAATAAATCTAGATAAATTTCGATTTTTTTCATATTAATACTAAACCGTGATCGATTTTTGATGTGCGATTTCTTGGAGGCGTTTAAAGTGAACATTGCAGAACAACTCGTTCTCCTTGTTCCGTTGCACTTTCTCGATTCTGAAATTTTTGAGGAATTTCGACCAGGCAATGACGATTTGAATAGAAAAGTTCAAAATCACTTACCGAATATGCTGCTGGCAGACCGAACATCGGAAGCATTTCGTATGAAATGAGAGTCCAAAACAAAGGGTACTCTCCGCTCGATAAACTGTTTTCGAGCAAACCGTGCATTTTGGACCCTCCATTGGCATCCAGCGAGCAGACTGAAGGGAAAACAATTTTAGCGTTTGATAAATATTTCAAGAGCTCCTGGAGTCACCTAGTGACTCCAAAAAGAGTGACTTACTTGTACTGTTGATTTATATTTCCTAAAACATCAATTTTTTTTTTGAGGCTATTGTAATCTTGTCTCTAGTTCTGATTCTGTGAGCGTACAAAAAGGATGATCTCAAAAGTAGATAAATTGAATGAAAGTGAGACAAGATTACGGTAGCTTTCAAAGGTTTGAACGTTTTAGAAAGCTCAATAATGACGGTGAGTTCTTTAGTTTCAAAGCTCGTTGTCAGTCTTGACCTGTGCCCCGAGAAAAGAGTAGAATTTCCTTGACGACTGTGGAAAGTAGGAATCTTTTACCATTTCATTGTGCGAGTTACTTGTATTGTGTCACCACCACCAACGACAACTTTATTCACAATCATCAAAAGGCACTGAAATGAATGAGAAGGCAATTTTCCGGATTCGATAGCAAATCTATCATATATTGACTAGCTTTTTTGGACTTGCACATATTCTGAGCTGATATTTACAAACAGTGAAATAAAACATAAATATTGATGGAAGACAAGGTGAAAAATGTGAAATGAGTTGAGATTTCGTGACTTCAGTGATCCTAAACGAGCTCTGACTATAAGTGTTTCCCGTAATTCTGTATTCGAGGGTATTACGGTAGTCGGTAGTTTGTCGATCTTATCAAACACCTCCTCAACTCACTTGTCCGCCCTTTGTCGGCATTCTCGATTTCTCCGCTTTGCGCGCCTCTTTTTGATGAATTTTCTCCCATTTCGCAGCCATTTTCGATGCATGTTCTGCTTTTATGCCAACATCCTCATCTTTATCCTGAAATTAATGATTTACAGTACACCTTTAATGATTTACAGTAGAGATTACAGTACAGATTACAGTACTCAGTACAGTACAGATTACAGTACTCAGTACAGTACAGATTACCGTACAGATTACAGTACTCAGTACAGTGCTGCTTAGTCACATAGCTGTATACAAAATGAGAACCATCTAAGATTATAGTTAGGCGCTTAAAAGTAAGCCTAAAAGTTCAGCTAGCAAAGATAAGCTAAAATAAGCAAAAGCTAAAATAAAGTAGTTTGCCGACCTGTGCTCTTTCCCTCTCCTCCAAATCTCTTTCCTCCTGGAGTCGTTGCTGCATTGCGGCTCGTTCTCCTGCAATTTCATTATTTTGGGTTATTGATTAGTGTTGTGTTCCTCGTGATTAAATAATTAATTGAATAAATTTGTGTAAATAAATTTTTGTTCGATTATTTTTGCTCGATTCAAGATTTGTCTCAATTAATGGGGAAAAGATATTTACCAAGAATGCTAGAAAAGATGCTGATACTTCAACATTACTGAGAAAAAAATACCCTTCAAATGAAGAAAAGTTTAAATGTTAATGAATGATGATGAATGAAAAGTTTAAATTTGGATTTAAACTACGCTACATAAGTACGATAGCCTTTTTGAAGCAAAGGCAAAGCACCTTTAGAAAGCGCATTAATCTAATTAGTCATTTTAATTAATACTTTCAAAGCCTTTCGAATTTTCTGATTTCTAAATTATCAAAACGATTATTTCTACAAATCTGAACCCTGATCAGAAGGTCAAGAAGACCAAGAGGGTCAAGAAGGCCAAGAAGGTCAAGAAGGTCGATTGAATAATGATTTATCAATCATTATCAATCGATGAACCCACTTTTAAGTCTGTCAAACTCGACTTCCATCTCTTTCTTCCTGTATTCCTCTGCATCATGATCCTCTTCTTGTCCCTAAAAACATCGCCATCATCAAAATATTCATTTCATTCACCTGTTCAAATTGTTGCTTCAAATTCTTCGCTTGAACTCGAATCTTCTCAAGTTCAGCTCTAAACATTGTCTATATTCTTGTTGTTCTTGGTCGTCTTTTTCTTCCAAACCTCTGCTCTGAATTGATCGCCTTATTCGAGTCATTTTCTCCGATATTTTTGAATTTATTCATTAAATTCTTCACATCATACTCTTCCTCCTCGGATTCGTCATCTAAAAAAATGATTCTAAACTTATTTCCAATAAATATTGTTTAAAGTATTTAGCTAATTTGTTTAGAACTGATGGATTTCGATCGACTGTGTTCTAGATCTGGGAATTTTCGGTGTGAACGTCAATAGGGCTCTAACGGAAAATCTTGGTCTTCTTGGCCTTCTTGACCTTCTTGGTCTTCTTGGTCTTCTTGGTCTTCTTGACCTTCTTGGTCTTCTTGACCTTCATGGCCTTCTTGGTCTTCTTGGCCTTCTTGACCTTCTTGGTCTTCTTGACCTTCTTGACTTTCTTGGCCTTCTTGGCCTTCTTGGCCTTCTTGGCCTTCTTGGCCTTCTTGGCCTTCTTGGCCTTCTATCTTAACCAATTTCACTTCAATCTTTTTATCTTTCATTTCAATCGATAGAAAATCAAATTCTCCGTCAATTGATATCAAAAACAAAAAGATTGAAGTGAAATTGATATTATATTTGTCCGTTGCGAGCCTATTGACGTTGACACCGAAAATTCTTTGGTCTACTGTGTTCAATTCTTTACCTTGTTGATCTCTTCGATTGACCACATCTCCCAATGCTGTCTCTTTCTTGTCCCATTTTGAGGGTTCCTAGAATTCTTCTTTTCTTCTTTTCTTTCTGTGGTTATTTTTGCGTTTTTCCCTTTACACTTAAAAAAACACGAACTCTTCTCTGTTCTTTCGGCAAAACCGGCTGCGCATTTGTGTCTAATTGTTGGAATTTTGCTCTCGCTTTCCCGGCGACTTTCACCTCGACATCCAAACCGCTTCCATCTTTACCTAAACATATTTGCAATGAATCACACTCATGTATTCAACTATTTCAATTGCGTTAGCTTATCCCTTGAACTCACCCGGTTCATTATTGTTGAAAGCTCGTCCGGAATTGAATGTGTCTCTTATTCCACCGACTCCAACCCCGCTCGCCGTATCAGCTCCACCGATTACATGTGCTTCTTCTTCACCAGTTTCCTAAAAGAATCATAAATTTGATTTTAATTTCAACTCTAGTCTTCAACTCTGTCTAATCAGTTAGTCGATCGACAATTCAAAGTGTCAGCTACGGAAAAGTAAACCGATTTTGAGCCTCGTTCTCTGGATTTCTGTCAAGCACAGATTTACGTACGAAATTTGTATGATTTGTACAAATTCTTGATTTTTATCATACTATACATTAAGTTTTGATAAGCTGAATCTAGGAAAACTTAAAGAAACAATTTTTTGCCTTAATTAATGAATTAAAACTTAATACCGAAACTGAATTGTTTCAAAATCAAACCGCCATTTGTTGTGCCCTTTTCGTGGCGGCTTTCCTCGCCAATTTGTATCTCAAGAATTCGGCTTCGATTTCTTTCTGTTTTTGCTCAGCCCGTTCTTCGGGAGTCATGTTGACTGTGCTCTAAAGTTTGTATTTTATTTTACCAAAACAAAATCCTCATAAAATCCATTTGAACGAACCCTTCCTTTTGCCTCAAAAGCACTCTTCAAATGATCCAAGCTGATTCCATCAATTTCCACCTAAATCAAAATCCTTTCCTTCCTTTTTTTCCCTCTTTACCTGTGTCTTTTGTACTTCATTAATATCTCCTTGTCCTTTCTCGAATTTCTCCTTGAAATCTTTGGCTTTTCCTGAATATAATTATAAAATAATATAATATAAACACATTCTAACCAGAAATAATATCATCAGCCGTTTCTTTTTTGATCGATCCCGATGATTCGAAGGCTCGTCCCTCCATAAAAGATTTCCGAGCCTCAGCAGCCGCTAAAATGAAGCAGATTATCGGTAGACAGCTTTTCCGCATATTCTGGATGTTTCGAATCATCCTACAGGTTCCGGATTTGATTCGAATCCTAGCCAGTCTTTAAACACTCACACGAGGTATTGAGTTGACTAGCATCATACGATCTCTCAACCACCGCTTCACTATCTCCTTCAGTTCTCTCCTTGAATCTCTCCTTCACGTTGATGCTTCCCTAAAATAAGTTTTAGAATGTACTGCATCCCTAGTGTTTTTACCCTCAATGCTTGCAAATCCTCTGTTTCTCGTGCTTCTTTTTGTTCAGCTGTCTCCACCTGGCCGGTTTTCCATTTGTTCTTGATATCACCAACCTGGAAAATTTGGTTATAAGATTTATTTACCTTAAGAATATTTATCAATAGCCTTTATCTCTTAGAAAGATTTTCAAATCTTTTTTCTCTTACTTGATCGAAATGAAGCTCTTCTCTCTTGATTTTTGTCTCCTCGTTGGCCCCGTTCACAAATCTAAAGCTTAGATTTTGTTTCAAATGATTAACAAATGCTTTATTTTGCTTATTTTTAGTATATTTTCTAGGGTTTTCTATATTATTTTTCATATTCTGAACCCACCTTCCCATATTTTCCTTGACTTTCCCCGCAGCGATCTCCTCCTCGATACCACTCTTTTTCTCAATCTAAAACCAGAAAAAAAATTTTTATAGATAGATAAAATTGATATTTCTTTCAGATTAATACCTAGATTCAACTATTTTTTCACTAACCGCTTCAGCATTTTTGACGGAAGTCTCGAATTCGCCTTTCTTTTCCTTAAGTGATCGAAGCTGAGAGAGCTCATCGCTAATATCCATTCCACCGGCTGAAATTTGTATTTAGTTTTAATAAGATTGAAGAAAAGGAATCTATTAAAAAAATGCTTAAAATTTTCACTCACATTTCACAATGTTTTTGTTGACCTTTCGGGGTTTATTTGTCACCGCGAACTCCTCGTCACCCGAATCAGAAGCTGAACCGTCTGAAAAGGGAAATGAATGGTTACAGTGAAGAATCAAGAACTGAAATTGACAATAAGCTCTTGATAGGCATTTTTGCAAGAGTTCAGTTATCTTGCAAGTTTTAAATTGGTTGAATTTGTTAGAATATCGTTTTTGAAAAGGTTGACTGAAGAAAATTTTGTCTAAATACATCGAATGTCGATTTTCGGGAGTTAAAAGAGCTAAAGATCTTATAAAGAGTCAAGTTATTACTGTCTAATTAAGTTCAAACTGTCTAATTAAGTTCAAAGCTTCCAACTCTTGGTACGCTTTGAGCTAACATTAGAATATTAGCTATCAAGAGTTGGTTTTATGATTCGAGAGTACTAAAAGGTGGTACCGTAAATACTGTAATAGTACCCCACCCCCATAATGACGGTGCGGAGTGTTGCGCAGGCTAGCTTTGAACGAGTTTTTCTCGACACTGGTTTATGCTACAATGCGCGCTTAGGTATCAAAAAATAACCCTGAATTTCAGCTATTTTTTGATACCAAAGACACATTTTTTGAAAGTACGGGCACTTTGAAAAAAATGAAATACTAAAAAACTTTTGCGACTACGCGACTGTACGAGGGAGTGGGATACTATTACAGTATTTACGGTAAGGTTTAAAGAAAACTGAAAAATGCAGGCAGAGCTAAATGTGATAATTTATCGTAAATCGAAAACATTTTAAAATAAAGAAGGAGAGAAATTATAAGTGTTTCGCTGGGATTTCGGAACGATTGAGTGAAAACGGCGTCCTCTTTTCCCCCCTTCAATTTCTCTATTTCAAAAGAAGATCGTCCGGGTTGATTGCATCAAATTTGGCATATTCATATATTCGAAAAGAGATATCTCTTCTTTTCTCATTTCCTTCAATATGGGTCATCTCTTTTCCTTTTCCTTTTCCTTTAAGTCTCTTTCTTTATATTTTCTTCACACATCTTGAAGCTCGAAAATGTGATTGATTTGTACAAGTGAATGTTGATTATTCAAATTTTGTTTTGTCATTTTGAAAAGTCAAGGAACAATTTGGGAAATATCTAACGGCTATTTAGCTTTTTTTTGTTTAGCTTTTTTGTTTTTTAGAGCCTCGAAAGATCTAGCTACTTGGAATAAATCTCTAGCTTAATGTAAATAATTTTAAGTAAAAAAAAACCTTCAGAATCAAGATCATCAGCTGGAATGGCAGCTCCTGGATGAAGGGCTTCCCACAAATGTCCTTTACACAGCAATTTCCCTTCATGTGAACCATAATTGGTGGCCCTGAAATGTCGAAAATTTTCTTTTTCAAATTTATAGACAAACTTACAGTAATTTCTTGTTACATGTTGCACATCGGAAACAATTTTTGTGATAAATCGATCGATTTGCAATCATTCTTTCCACTGGATAAACTCTTTTCTGACAGAGGACACAGTCTTGCGGTCCGTCATCCATTGGGATTTCACCCTAAACAGTACAATTGAAGTTTTCAAGTGCAACTGCAACACTACAACTAACTTTAACAGTTTAAAGTCCAAGTTTAACAGTTTAAAGTCTAAGTTTAACAGTTTAAAGTCTAACTTTAACAGTTTAACAGTTTACAGTCTAACTTTAACAGTTTAAAGTCTAACTTTAACAGTTTAAAGTCCAAGTTAACAGTTTAACAGTTTAAAGTCTAAGTTTAACAGTTTAAAGTCTAACTTTAACAGTTTAACAGTTTACAGTCTAACTTTAACAGTTTAAAGTCTAAGTTTAACAGTTTAAAGTCTAACTTTAACAGTTTAAAGTCTAACTTTAACAGTTTAAAGTCTAACTTTAACAGTTTAAAGTCCAAGTTAACAGTTTAACAGTTTAAAGTCTAAGTTTAACAGTTTAAAGTCTAACTTTAACAGTTTAACAGTTTAAAATCCAAGTTTAACAGTTTAAAGTCTAACTTTAACAGTTTAAAGTCTTTAAACATTAAACTTTAACTTTAAAGTTGTTAAGCGATCAAGCTAAAGGTTTAGTTTCAGCTTTAACAGTCAGTATGAGCGAATCTTTTCACTGACCCCATGAAACGCATTCATAATCCTCTTTCGATCCGCTTCCGATCTTGTAATCTCGACTTTCTCCTTCTGAATATTCCCATCTTCATCGTTTCCCTTCTCGAATCTTAAAAACTCTTATATATTCTTTTATTATCATCAATTTTACCTATTCACCGCACTCGCCAATCCATCTTTTCCCAATCCAATCTGTTCTTTTTCCATTCTTTTCAATTTCTCCTCCAAATTCTCCTCCAATGTGCTGTCCAAGCGCTCGAATTTGTCTTTAAACTTGGAGTAGTTTTCCTGAAAATAAGCCCAAGTAAAGTTGAATTTTTTAAAAATGTTTACTTACCTTTGATGCTTGGGCGATCCTCTGTTTTTCCTCGTCTCTTTCCGCTTTTTCTCTTGCCGCCATCTCTGCATTTTCACTTACGCTCACTTTTCCCGTCTCAAAACCCTAAAATACACTTAATTAAAGTCTTAAAATGTTGAAACTGAACGTTTCTAGCATATTTCGCTTGTTATAAACCTTTTTAATATTCTTGGCCTCATTGTTTGCCTTGAGATCCTCGATTTCTTTCAATCGTTCCGCATCTTTCCCCGATTGTTTCTTCTCAGTTAATGCGGTTTTCTAAAATTTGATAAGTTGCAAAAAAAGCTTTTTCAAAAAACCAATTGATTGAGCTGCCCCGAGCGTTCTCCAATTTGAATCTTCGGTGGCGGTTTCTTGATTTCCTCCGATTCGGAATCCGATGAAATGGCATACGGATCCTCTTCGACGTCTGATGGCATGATTTGAGATCTAAAATTGACGTGAGATTTGAGGAGAATCGTTATCAAAAACGATTTTTTCGATAGAGAACTTTCGAGTGTCAAAACAACAGCTCCACAGCTGTTCTCTGGTGCGGGTTCTCTAGGCGGTATCAAAAGTAAACTAAAGATATCAGAAAAATTGAATTGAAAAAGAAAATATTCGTTTGAAAAAACATTTTTCTTCAATCAAGCATTTTTTTTTCAATCGATCGAATTCTGTGGAGACTAAACAAAAGTCGAGAAGAAAGAGGAAGAAATTAGGGAAAGATTTGGAAATGCATACCGAATGGCTGGTGTTTAGCTGACAGAATGACAGAAAATGACAAAATTTTCACAGTAACCAATTCCAGGTTAATGGCCAAACTTTAGAGTACACAGTGGTGCTCATTTCACAAATCATAGCCAAATCATGGCACAAATCTCTAGCGATCACGGAGGTGATAGTGTTTCAAAACTCACAGCAACTCACAGTTTTGGGTTCTTTTATGGGTTGAAGCTGGGAATACAAAACATGGTCGGCGCCGGGATTCGAACCCGTGACCTCTAGCTTACCGGACGAACGCTCTATCAATGAGCTAAAACAACACGTACCCCGTTGTCACCAGAGTAGGGACTTATGCCTTACTCAGTCAAAAAAGCCAATGTATTGAAAGTAACACGGTGAATCCGTGGGCATATCCGTATAACCAAATAGCTGGAGTACCGGTGATAAGTATCATTTCGGAAATCTGTATCCAACTTGCAAGTGTTCTACCAAGAACCCAAATATTGAAAGATGAAAGAAAGAAAGAATAAAAGATTGAAAGATACAGTGAAGATCAAAGTGAAAATATTTTAACAAAAGTTTCATTGCTATAAAGGAACAAAGAACAAAAAGACAAATCAATGATTACCTGATCACTTCCATATCTCGTAGCAATTATCAAAAAAATTGATGACAATGAGTGATTTGGCAGATCGATAAATCCCTTTCTTTCAATGGAAACTGTTTGAGGTGAAAAGAGGGTCTCTCGAAATTTCTCCGAGTTTTTGTCCGATTCGAGATCCGTCTATTGGTTTTTGTCTTCGTGAAAGCCCGAAAGAGGGAATGGATAAGGGGGAATAAAGGGAGAAAGGGGTAGGGGAAGGCTCAGAAGTCTTTCATTTAGAGTAAATAGTTAGAGTAGAGAAAAGGAAAGAATTGGGGAGGACTGTTGGCATTCTCTTCTCTTTCTCTTCTGCCACCTGTTTGTGCTTCTTTTTCTTTCGAAGAGATTTGTCAGCAATCCTCCCCCACTTTCTCTCCGATTCTTACTTCTATCCTCTCAAAAACCGCACGAGAAAGCGAGAAGACAAAGAGAATCAACAAAACGAAATGTGAACAGTAATACCAGTAGTCTCCTGCGCTTTCATTTCGCTTTTTTTCCACTCACTCTATTTGTTCGGGTAATTTGGAGGAGGGGTATGATAAAACAAGGATTCGATTCGATTTCAGGTAAATCATTTAGAAATTTGGAGCAATTTTGGAGGAAAAGTACTCTGATCAAAAAGGCTCAATAGAAATTGTGGCACTTATGCTACTCATTGCAGGCTGGACTAAACAGTACTGATGTTGAAGTTCATGATCTCAAAAACACAACTAATCTTAGCAGAATCGAACTAGACATTGAAAACCTGGACATTTGTTCAAAATTTTCAATAAAATTGTAAAATCAAAAGTAAAGTCGATGATGAGTAATCGAGGGCCACGGCCAAGAAATGTGGGATTGTTACGGGACCCCGATTTCAGGTCAGAGTGAACGGATCCCTCTTCAACGAGCGACAGAGGGTGTAAAATTGGAAACTCAACTGCGATCCCTTCGGAGTGAACAATCTGTGTGGACGACCAGAAAAGAAGAAAGGGATTTGTTTTGGTCAGAAAGGGGATAAAAGAACAGAAAGGCAAGGGGGAGCCCCACTCCGGGGGCACCTAAAAGCACATTACACCATGAATCTTTCCCATCCCCTCCTCTCTACTCGCATCTTTTCCATTTCCTTTGTCCGTCTATACGTATTTTATCACCACCACATGATGATGAAATGATACCTGTGAAAGTGTTACGCTAACAATAAAATTTACTTCACAAACTTAACAACTATAACAATTAAAAATCTTAATCAAAAGCTACTTCCATTAAATGTTTCTTGTACGCGGCGGCTTTCTCGGCGACCCATTCCTCATCGATAATCGTCACATCACGAGCGTAAAGGTCCGACGTACGCACAAGCTCCGTGAAAACAAAGCATCTAAAATAAGTGATTGAACGGGCATTCGATTGAAACTACAATATTAAAAAATTAAAATTTACCGCGGTTTGCAGCGAGCTAGCGCACTACTCGGGTGTATTCGCAAAACAACGGATGGATTCACCATCAATCTGTAGCGATCTTCTTGTCGGTCATAGACGCATGCATTCATAAACAAACCATCAGCTAGAGCCCGACTAAAATGGGAATTTAGGTAGGTTTAATTCAATCTCTGATTACCGTATACTATCTCGATTTGCGCCACAACTCGTCATTTGACACATATCCTTTGCAATTTCGCGTATTTGGGTGCGAATCTAAAGTAATCAAATTGTAACAAGCCAGTTGGAAATAGAAACCTTCATAACAGTGTTTAGATTCCGCATGTTGAATCCATTCTTCTGGCAAAACTCCTGAAGCAAGTTGTTCGATTGTGTTTTTAAACACTAACCTTTAATCCGAGTCGATTCCGCTTCTTCTCATTTCGAAATATATTGCAGATGTTGAGTAGAGTAACATGATCCCCTTCAGAAGTACGATAACTAAATGAAAACCAGCACTACTTTAAGATTCATATTCATCACAAACCGATCTCGAATCCTTTGCATTTCATCTTCCTTGCCAGATTGCTCAAAAGTGAAAATACTATCGGTCGACATGCAAGCTACTATCCATAAGATTTCTTCTAAAATAAATAAGAGGATATATCTTTTATTTAGTCATACCAAGGCAGCCTTGATTCGATGCAGCCAGAATCACGCGTCCGTGTTCTGGCGGAACCGGGTATTTCAGCAACGCCTCTCCAGTTGGGGTCAGCTTTATTTTGCCGCTCCTAAATTCAAAATTTATCGATCACTATCTAAAACTTACTCATTCCTGTTGACAGCTTTCATTGCCTCAAGTTGAGCAATTGCTAACCGCAATGCGTTGTCCTCTGGCTGACTGACCAGTTTTAGCGTTTCAATGTTCTTCCATCCAATCTTGAGCAACTCAAGTAATACCTAAAATTTTATTCAAAAATCTTTAGAGAACAATTCACTTCAACAAGGTTAGAGCGCAAAATTTCTGGCAGAGTGGCGTTGGGCATTTCATCGAAATATTTCTCTGGGTAAAGTCTAAAAGATATTTTTTAAAAAGCAGAGCCAAAAGTCACCTATAGCAAATGCCTGGTGCTTCACGGCCGGCTCGACCGGCCCGTTGTTGTGCTTGAGCTTTTGATGTCGATTGAACTTTCAAAACATCAATTCGGTTTTCAACGGTAAAATGCCTAAAATCTTGTTTTATTTTAAATAAAATGGAACCAACTTCATTTTAACTTTACCACTATCGATCACGATTCGAACACCCGGTATTGTTACAGAAGTCTCAGCCACATTTGTTGAGAAAATAACTTTGCGGTATCCCTAGCAAAAATATTAACAATTGAAAACAATCTGGTAACACCTCGGGCGCTGGCTGAAAAGCTTTCATTTGTTGCATGGGAGTCATCGCTGCATAGAGAGGAATTGCGTAAATCAAAGATCCGAGTTTCTGTAATTAAGAATGAAGATTACATTTTAAGAATTCCTACCTCATTTGATTGATTAACTTTCTTAATGGCTACTTCAATTTCTTCTCGGCCAGTCAAAAAGACGAGAACATCAGACCTGATCATTTTTTATTAACAAATGATAGGTAAATCCTTTACTCGATTGGTTGCTCCTTATGAAGTTGCATCAATGTGACCAGTGCTTGATGGACATAATCATTTGCCGATGGATCGATTTTCTCTCCATAAAGTATCTAAAGTTCTCTGAGTTGTCTTTATCATAAGCAATCAACCTCTATTGGGTACGTGCGTCCTTCAATAACATTCACTGGTTCATTAGAAGAAAAATAATCCGAAAATGTGTTGGCTTCAATTGTTGCTGACTAAAATTTAATTTATCAAATTTATTAGATTACGAACCATGATCACAACTTGGAGCGGTGAAAGACCCCTTTTTGAGCGTAGACGACGAGCTCTCCTACAAAACAGCATAAATTATTTACTTTTAAGCAAACTACCTCACAACAGCCAACAAAACATCAGAGTGAAGAGATCGTTCGTGTGCTTCATCAATAATGACACCAGAATATTCCTGAAAATTTGGTAGATAAAAAGCTGTTTGAAAAAAATTGCCTTGAGTAAGGGATCCATCATTGCCTCGCGTAACAATATCCCGTCAGTCATGTACAGAAGTTGACATTGAGGACCCGCTTCTGCCTCGAAACGTACACGATATCCCACCTACAAGAAACAATAGAAGTTTTGCAAACGTTTCGTTATTATCACCTTGCTGCCAAGATCCGTTTCCATTTCTTCCGACACTCGAATTCCCAATGAAATGGCTGCGACTCGTCGTGGCTGAGTGATCGCGATTCTCCCTCCATTTTCACACCATCCCGCTTCAAGACAAAGCTAAAACACAGTCTTCTAGTTTGAAATCCCTATAAACTCTTACTTTTGGTAGTTGAGTGCTTTTCCCAGATCCAGTTTCTCCGATAAAAATGTGCACGCCGTCATTTTGGAGGACTTGCACCACTTCAGAGGCAACATCATCGATTGGTAGGTGTGGGCGTAGAAGTGATGTCGAAACCTAGAAAAAACAATAAAATTGAAGTGTTTAATGTAGAAAATATTTACCTTTCTTTTTCTGTTCACTCTTGGTTGCATTTCTTTCTCGACCATATCATGCATCACTACTACTTTCCCTAAACAATCGTTGTAATCTCCCCCAAACTTTTAAAACAACTTTTCTTCTTTTTTGGAGTGCCACGAATTTCCGGCTCATTTTCTGGAGCCCTTGCCATCTAAACAACAAACAATTTACTAGATTTAAAGCGGGCCTTGGTTAGATTTTGTGTATTGTTTGAGATATGTCTGCAGTACAATAAATAAGTATTGTTTAAATTTGTAAATTAAAACTGTGAAACAATAGGTTTATTCGGCAAAGTCAAAATCATGAAAAGCTCTATACAACAATGACAAAAAGAGATTTTATTTTTTAGAAGACATTGTAACGTCCGCCGACAGGTTGCCGTTGCGTTTGTACCGCCTAAATATGAAAATTTGCAAACAAAGTAACACATCGACTAACCAAATTCCTCATTGCCTCCTTCATAATACGAAAGATCTCCTCTTTCGCTTTTCGTAGATTGAGTTCGGTACGAGCCTCCAAGAACAAATACAATTTGCGATCATCACCGGGCTAAAACTTTCTAAAATTTTGAAAGAACCAGCTGCTTACTTTTGGCTGCCTTTTCTCAGGATAATACGTGCCTTTGACAGAAATTCCAACGTCAGCATATTCGTTAATATGTCGGAGATTGTCCTGAAAATGAGAAAATGAAGCATGCTTTTTTAACTTTAAAACTAACCCGCGAGCATATTTTGTATCGAACTTGTTGCGGGAAATCGTTAATTTCAAGCTCTTCCTCAAAGTATTCGGTTTCTTCGGAAGTTCCAATTAAAGCCATACTAAAATCAAAATACAAATCGAAGCTAAGAGCAGAAGTTAGTTACCTCTCATCCGCAATATGATTTAGCCGAGAGTTCAATTGCTCAGCGATTTTTTGGGCCTTGTTTTTGCTACTCAATCCAACTTGTTGACCATCTCCCTACAAAAAAATTAGACTCAAGTGCAATAATCAAACTCACCCTAAGGATAGCTTCGGCCGTCTTTGTTGCGTTATCCTTTTCTGGATTCTGGACAATCTTTTCGGCTGCTATTCTCGCAGCAATTTTGGCCGCGGCTTCTTTCTAAATCAATTACTCATAAACGTCAACCCAATTTCTAACTAACCTTGCTTTCCACAGCAGCGGGATTAGCAGGAGGACCTTCATCAATTCTAAGCGCGGGCATGTTTCCATTAACGAGACGCCGCTTACTTTTACACAATTTCTCCATTTCTTGATAGGTCTGAAATAACTTTCGTATTTAAAAAGATACTTTAAAATTTTACATCATCTTCATCGTCATCTCCAGCCTCCATTCCTGCCACCAGCTTCGCCATCGTCTTTTTACTAGCCACTGCTTCCGCTTCTGCCTCATCATATTTAAAACCACTTCCGGTAAAACTAAACTTTGTTGCATAAATAGTTTAGAAGCTAAATTATAGCAAACCCTTTTCCTCCAAGATGGACTTCTTTTCCTTGAGCTGCCATTTCCTCTTTGAATTTCTCAAACATCACTTTCAGCTCCTCTGGTGGAGTTGATCCAGCCGACTCAAAGGCTCGACAAACTTCACCGGCCATGCGTTCTTGTCCTAAGATTAGTAAAGATGAAACTGTTGCAAATGTTTTTCTTACCTTCGGCTAAAACAAAAGTGTAGGCATACCCGCGGTTTCCAGCACGCCCTAAAAATATATATCTTGAACACAATTACCAATCATGACAATGAATTTGTGCTAAACATACCTGTTCTTCCCACTCTGTGAACATAATCTTCATAGTGATTTGGACAATCATAATTGACCACCAAAATCAATCCTTTCACATCAAGGCCGCGAGCAGCAACAGATGTCGCAACCTAAACTTAAATTTGAATGAAATTACTTTGAACTCACCATGATTTTTATTGTTCCATTTTTGAAATCAGTAATTGTAGAGTCCCGGTCAAATTGATCGATTCCACCGTGCAAAGATGCGCACGACGAATAACCATTCAATATTAGTTCATTCAATACAGTGTCTGCCTAAATTGAAATTTTCATTTTGTGGCAGAAATTTCAAACTTACGAACCTTTTCTTGTTTATCGACAAAGATAATCACACTTCCTTGCTCGTAGTAGATTCCCAGTAATTCCAAAAGTTTCAACAACTTTTGATGTTCTTCCAAAATAACTGCATTCTGAACCACATCCGAACAAACAACGGATCTTCCGCCAACCTAAACACAATTTTTGTTTTATAAGCCAAATAAACAAACTTGAATCTCGACTGCATCTTTCAACGTTTTTTTGGCTAAAGCTTCCATTTGACGTGGAAACGTGGCTGAAAACAAAACTGTTTGCCGGTCTGGACGAATGTTCTCGACAATTTTCATCACCTAAACTCATTAGTTTAGCCTGTTCGTAAATCAACCTTTACCATGATCATATTGACTTGTTTTACTCTTCATTGTTTTCGAGTGGATAAACATTTAGGTAAAACGTGAGTATACCTGTGGTTCAAATCCCATATCAAACATCCGGTCCGCTTCATCGAGAACAAGATATGTCGTACGGCGAAGATTGGTTACTTTGCCTAAAATCAAACAATGATTGATAAAGTTCAACTTGAGACCAACCACTGTTTGCTGCAAGCATTTCCATCATTCGACCTGGTGTGCAGACAATGATTTCGGCTCCCCTCTTGAGGTCAGCAATTTGCTCCGAGATACCAACTCCTCCATAAACACAAACAACTCGTAAATCAAGCACCTAATGCAGATCAATCACATTTGAAAAAAAATATGGTTACCTTTGCAAACTTATTTGCTTCTTTCCATGTTTGCATTGCCAGTTCCCTTGTCGGAGCCATAATGATTGCTAAATTAAAATTATTGCGCTAATATTACAATATTAACCGATAGGGCCATCCATATCCGCTAATGGGTCTTGATCGAGTACGTGACGAAACATTGGAAGCAGAAAAGCCAAAGTCTAAAATTTCTCGTACATAAGTTTAAATGCAAATTTGTACCTTTCCACTGCCTGTTTTTGCGATTCCAATAACATCACGACCTAAAATGCAAAAAACAATATGATGTTGAGGCATCAAATGGTATGAATATTGTTACTGCCTATTCTTTGCAGCAAAAGAATGACTTACCAGATAATATTGCTGGGATCGCTTGTGTTTGAATGGGAGTCGGTTTTTCATAAGAGAATCTAAAATTGGTTCGTTAAAAGGGCTTATAAGAAAACAGAAACCTTTTGAGGACTTGTAGCGTTTTAAAATCAACACCACACTGAGCCCACGTTTTAATCGGTTTTGGGACTTTCTTTCCTCGAACCTAAAATGTGATTTTGGTGCCATAGTAGTTGGGGGGGGCAGTGTACATTCATCTCTATTGAGCCAGGGCGCACTAGTTTTTGCTTCTAGGGTTTTTGATGGCGTAGATTCATAATTTGGCATTTATTTAAGCTTTAGTGACTGTTTTCTAGTTATTTCAAGCAGTTACTGAGGTTTAAGCCTCTAAACCCGGTGAAACTAGAGTCACTCTTGAAGGCTCGGAATTGTTGCTCAAACTGACATAAAAGTGGTTCAGAATGGTTTGTAAATGCTTCCAATAGATTCAGTGCAATTAATTACTCCAAAAAAGTTTTTAAAACTAGTGGTAAGTTCGAAAAAACCGATGTTTACAAACTGCCCCCCCCAACTACTATAGCACCGTGGTTTTATTTACATTTTCTTCTCAACCCTGACATAGACGTTTATCGAGAAATATAAACGTACCTTTATACCATCCAATTCTTCTCTATATGCCTCTACGTCTACTTTACTCATTCGTGCAATATCGGAAGTCTAAAAGCAATAATTAAACAAACAGTGCAATAAAACTCACTTCAGTATAAAACGCTTTCCGGAAAGGCCGATAATAGATTTTCTCGTGATCTGTCTGGGCAAGCAATCTTCCCTTTGTAGTCAAACTTGCGACCTAAATTCGATATGTAAATAATTTTAACGAAGTCCAAAACCTTTTGGATGTCAACATCGTCAACCACCACATCTTGATTATCGTCAGCCTCCATAATTTCTCCTTTCTTCGTATCTGTTTCAACAGCTTTCAAAGTAACGACCTTCCCTTTGCCCTAAAATAAATTTTTTAAAAACTGGAGCTTACACTTATCCTTTCATCACTAATAAAGCAAACGTACTTTTGCAGGAGCGGGAGCGGGAGCAGGAGGTGGCTTCTTGGAAACTTGTTTACTGATACCAGCCATAAATGCGTCCAAAGGATCTTCGTCGTCTTCTACCTCTTTTTTCACATTGTTTGGCTTAATGTTGTCTGTTCCCCTAAAATGTGTGCATCACAATGATTACTTTTTAATAACTTACAGTGCCGCTGTAACCGCTTGAATTGCATTATTCTGATCTAATGTTTGAACATCTTCAAGCAGCTCCTCGTCCTCATCATCCAAAGTCCAAGCCTTTTTCTCTTAAAACAAATTTATATTTACAATTCATCAACCAAAACTTATCTCTTCTTTTGCTGCTTGCTTCTCTTGCCATTCCTTTTCACGTTCTTCCCTTTTTCCGATTGCCTTCTTTGCTCTTTCTTGCTCAATTTTTTCTTTACGATGAAGGGCCATTTTTTGAAGTAAAGCACTCTAAATCAAAATTTTTATAAAAAGACCGTTAAATTTTCTAACCTGGTCTGTAGTTTTCATGGCAAGGATGTCGTCCATGGTGTAATCATCGTCATTAGAAGAGCTTTCACTTTGCGCTTTAGTCTCTTTGCTTTCTCGCTTCCGCTTTTCTCGGGGACTTCTGCTTCGATGTCTCTCACGACTACGACTTCGTTTTCTGCCTCTAAAATACAAAGTCATTAAATAACTTTACATATGAAATCCGAATAAAATCAGCTCACTTTTTCTTGTCCCGTTCTCGATCCTTTTCCCTGTCGCGGTCTTTCTTTCGATCCTTCTCACGTCTGTCCCGATCTTTTGATTCTTTCCCCATTAAACTAAATGTAAAAATTTAAAATTTTTAAGAAAGCTATCAATCTAACGAAAAAATAGAATAACGAAAGAGGTGTATTCAATTTGAGAGTTTGAATTTCGGAAAGTACGAGATGCTACTCATAGATTTCAGCAGGTCAATAAAGAGGTGTAGGTTTTTTCACAGAGAGGTTGCGCCTTGCACAAAAATGGTGTATCGGAAGAGGTTTTGTTTCCACCCTTTGTTTTTACCACTAGGTGAATTTTTCTACCTAATTCAGCTACCTAAAAGCTCCAAAACGGAGAATTCAATTCTAAGATCTTACGCCATACGAAAACGAAAAGCAAGCACAGCACCCAAAAGTGTTGTAAAAAGCTGTTAAAAAAACTGTAAAAATCAAAAAAATATTCTCTCTAAACAGTGGAAAGTCAAATTTGCACTTCAATGTAAGTATATATTTACATTTGCATTTTCTGACATGTGGCATTTCAGATTTCGACTTCTGGGCCAGAAGTTCTGGCGCAAGTCCCGTTGGCCAACTTTTCACATTCCCGTCCCGTTGACCGATTTTCTTCGCACTTTCTCTTTTTTTGACTCAATCGTTTTATGCGCTTAAACTTAAATCGGGTACATTTTAAGCTTGCGTCTCCCCCACCATTTCTCTTCCAAAAAGGCATAAAATGGTCCCGCAACGCGCCGTTGAAATGAGTTGGCAGAGAAGGGGAGAGACAGACCCTCTATTCTCAAATTTTCTCCACGGGTAATAAATGGCCTTCCTTATTCCAACTCATCTCTTTGGTCTTTATAAAACTAAAAATTTTTTCATCTTGTGGTAGAGCTTTCTGAGTTTCCTTTGCCCTTTGTGCTCCCTTAATCGTTAACCGTTTAATTTTTAGTGAAAGATGCCGGCACATCGTTTTGATGTGAACCGAAAGCTTCTTGCCCGATCGGACCGAGTGAAATCGGTCGACATTCACACGAGTGAACCATGGCTTCTAGCGGCTCTCTACAATGGAAATGTCCTGATCTACAACTTCGAAACGCAGGCTCTTCTGAAGACAATTGAAGTGAGTGAAATTTATTATCTTCTAGACCTTAAATTTTTGTACTAAAGCTGAAATCTATTTTTGATGTTTAAAGTGCAAAAGTAAGCCAAATCATTTTAGGTATGCGATCTTCCTGTACGCGCTGCTCGCTTTGTACCTCGCAAACAATGGGTGATTACTGGTTCCGACGACATGCATATTAGAGTCTACAACTACAACACTCTCGAACGGGTCCATCAATTTGAAGCGCATTCGGATTATTTGAGGTGCTTAGATTGTCTCTTTCTCTCATTACTTGCAAATTTAGATCAATGGCAGTCCATCCGACACAGCCATTTTTGCTTACAACTTCCGACGACATGCTGATCAAATTGTGGGACTGGGATAACAAGTGGCAAATGAAACAATCGTTTGAGGGTCAGTTGTTGCAGACTTTGGCATGATAACATCTTTTATTTAGGCCATACACACTACGTGATGCAAGTGGCTATTAATCCAAAGGACAACAACACCTTTGCAACTGCGTCATTGGATAAGACTGTCAAAGTGGGCATTTCACTCCTGGCTTAATTATTCTTTCTTTAGGTTTGGCAATTTGGTAGCAATGTTCCAAATTTCACCCTTGAAGGACACGAAAAAGGAGTAAGTTTTTAGTATTGATGCAGTGATTGATACGTTACTTGTTAATGACCTGTTTTTAGGTTAATTGCGTCGACTATTATCATGGAGGAGATAAACCGTATTTAATATCTGGAGCTGATGATCATCTCGTCAAGATTTGGGATTACCAAAACAAGACGTGCGTGCAAACTCTTGATGGTCATACCCAAAATGTTTCCGCGGTATGTTAAAGATTAGAAGCGCAATTAGTTTTGCATTCAGGTTTGCTTCCATCCCGAACTACCATTGGTTATTACGGGAAGTGAAGACTCAACTGTTCGACTTTGGCACTCGGGAACCTATAGGTGTGTTTATAATGCGTGGTGCACTAGCTATCATAAAGTTTGTTCCATATAAATTTCTTACGGCTTTAACTTTTTGTTTAGGCTTGAGACTACCTTAAATTATGGGCTTGACCGCGTTTGGTGTATCTCTGCTCATCGCGGCTCAAACACGGTGGCCATTGGCTATGATGAAGGCTCGGTCACAGTGAAATTGGGTCGTGAAGAACCAGCGGTTGTTTTTTAAAAAATAAATTTATCCTGCATTAATTTAGGTGTCAATGGATTCGTCAGGAAAAATTCTTGTTGCTAAACATTCGGTCGTCCAGCAATTAAATTTGAAAACTCTTGATGTTGAACAAATGGAACAACTGCAAGGTTTCTAAACAAAATTTCCTAATCAAAAAACCAAACCAAAAAATTCAAAACTATTTTTATATAAACTTCTAATAATTGTTTTAAGATGGAGATCGAGTTCCACTCTCGGTGAAAGAACTTGGCTCGTGTGAGATTTACCCGCAAACATTGTCACATTCAAGCAATGGAAGGTGGCGTTCCTAACTCTACAGTCTTATTGCCTTTTTTATAGATTCGTCGTTGCTTGTGGTGATGGAGAATATATTGTTTACACGGCGATGGCTCTTCGAAACAAAGACTTCGGACAAGTCAGAAATTTGAAACTAATGCCCAATTATCGTGATTTAGGCACTCGAGTTTGTTTGGGCTCAAGATCCAAATGTATTTGCCGTTCGCGAGTCAGCTCAAAACATCAAGATCAAGAAAAACTTCAAGGCAAATTGTTCAAAACTTTGCAGACGCTTATCTAATATTTAGGATTACAAAGGGATTCGCACTGACATCGTGATGGATGGAATTGAGGGAGGCCCACTGCTTGCGGCTCGGTATTTTTAAGCACAACTTTCACGTTTATCCACCCTGATTGTAGGTCGAATTCTTCTTTGTGCTTCTACGACTGGGAGAGCGGCAACCTCGTTCGTCGTATTGAGATTGGTGCCCAACATGTGTATTGGAATGATTCGGGTATGTTTGTTCTTAACTGCTGGACTTCCTAGTTTTCTGGAGTTAAGTGTTAATTAGTGCATTTTAGGTGAAATGGTTGCAATCACTGGAACCGATTCGTTCTATATTTTAAAGTACAACGCCGACATTGTGGCATCTGCTGCTTCAACTGATTTCAATGAGGATGGACTTGAAGATGCTTTCGAAGTTGTCGGTATGTGATATACCTACGTTGGTCGTTTATAAGAATGTTGTTTAGGAGAACAATCCGAAACCGTTGGAACTGGTTTCTGGATTGGGGACTGTTTTGTTTTCACGACATCACATAACCGTTTGAATTACTATGTGGGCGGTGAAATTGTCACGATTGCGCATTTGGATCGGCCTCTTTATTTGGTAACAACGTTTAATACTAAAATTAACACAATGGATAAGTTTAGCTCGGTTATCAAGCACAAAACTCGCGCATTTATGCAATGGACAAAGAATTGAATGTTGTCAGCTATCGTCTTCTTCTCACCATCCTTGAATATCAAACTGCTGTTATGCGACGAGATTTTGAAACGGCTGATAAGGTAAAATATTAAGTGTGGCTAACAAATCTTTTATTTAGGTCTTGGTTCATATTCCTAAAGAACACCGCACACGGGTAGCTCATTTCCTTGAAAAACAAGGCTTCAAGAAACAGGCATTGGCTGTGTCTCAGGATCCCGATCATCGGTACTGCTTGAATGGTTTATTTATAGGCTATTATTTTTTAGATTTGATTTGTCAATTGCATTGGGAGATTTGAAAACAGCTTACGATTTGGCCTTGCAAAGTGATAGCGAGGAGAAATGGAAGACTCTCAGTCAAGTGGCTACTCTTAAATGTGAGTTCTTTAGGTTGTTTTCCTTTTTACTAACGAGTAAATCTTAGCTGATCTGATGCTTGCCGGAGACTGCCTTGGTCGTGCTCGTGATTATGGGGGTACACAAATAGTTTTTAATATTTTATTGAAATGTTTTTAGGTTTGTTGTTGTTGGCATCGTGTGCTGGATCTGCTCCATTACTTGGCCGTCTTGCAAATGAGAGCGCCTCCAATGGTTCTCACAACGTCAGCTTCTTGTCCAATTTCTTGCTGGGAGACATCGACAAATGTCTAGAGACACTTATTGCGTAAGTTAGCACCTTTATGAGCTATACTGAAATGTGGTCATTAAATGAGGGTAATTTTTAGTTCGGATCGTTTACCAGAGGCTGCATTCTTTGCTCGCACACACGCTCCAAGTCAAGTTCCTCGCGTATTGGCACTTTGGAAAGAGCGAGCAACTCGCCAAACACAATCAGCGGTTTGCATATACGCTTCCATTTATCAATGTTTAACACTTTAGAGAAAAGCCGAAGCCCTAGCTGATCCTGTCAAATATGAGAATCTGTTCCCTGGTTACACCGAAAGTCTGAAAGTACGTTTTATGGACCGATCTCGTAATATACTAAATTTAGGCTGAATCGTTTGCTCGACAGTTGTGCAGCCTTGCCGTACCGGCCAAAGCCGCCAAAGGTTTGAGAAAAAAGGAATATTGTCAAAAGTATCATTTTTTTCAGAAGCTCCGCCCAACCAAAATCGAAATCTTATTGATGAAATGAATCAAGCTGAACAAAGTGGAGCCCTGACTTTTGATGCAAATGGACAAGCTACCCTCCGTGGTGTGAGGCAAGCCGCTCCGCTTACTCATCAGCCAACACCACCACAGGTATTTTTTCAGAACACGTTATTACAAGTTTGTTTGTTTAGCCTACACCAGCCCTCATTGCTACTGCATCTGCGAGTGTTGCTACAGCAGCTGCTGCACTTGGCGTTTCAACAAGTCACGCGCCACCAAGCCCAAATCCCACTCCGGAGAATACTCAGCCCTCGGATGATGAAGAGCAGCAAAGTGATGATGAGGTAATACTTTGACGTTACTACTTTGACAAATGGTTGCATTTAGGTAGGCGCTGAAATCGACAGATTTGATCATCACAACGAACCGGATGTGGTTGGTGGCGCTAAGCCGGATCTTGTTCCTAGTGCTCAAAAACCCGATGTCACTAACAACGCCCAAAATACTAGACCTGAAGTAAGTTCGAGGCAATTCATATCCCCCCAAATGGGATGCGCAGTAATAGTTTTTTGTTTTTTTAACAGCTATAAGTTTCAATTCAGATTGTGACGGATTCCGAAGCTGGAGAGATGAGGTGGTCGGATGAAGAATTTGGTGATGCTCAAGATGACGAGAACGTCGGAAATGACATTAATCTTGATGACCTCAATCTCGAAGATGAAGATTGACTGGTACTCGATCGGAGCACGTAGATTATCCTATTTAACGGCTGTTTTATACATATAACTCTATCTGTGATAATATAATATGTGCCCGCTAATTTTAATACATAATTATCTAATTATTTTTTGTTACTTGTTAGTGTTCCGATCGGTATCCAGTGGTGTGCACCGTTTGCTAAATATATGGTGTTTTGTCGAAGGTCAACTCTCGTGGGTTTGCGATTTGGTGGCGGTGCCTCTTCTAGAATTTTCGGTCTGTTCTTTTTCATAATTTTAATAGATGAGTTTTTTTGGTTGATTTCTCGATGCTTGTGATTTTCTCCGAACCCCGCGCATGGGGTAATTGATTGCCTCGTTTTTCTGTTTCCTGTTTGAATTTTCTGTTATTTATTTCCTTTCCACCGATATAACTATGCTTCTAAGTTTTTAGCGATTGATGCGGGGAGAGGTCGATTTAATAAATAATGTGATTTTTTTTTGTTAGGTTTCGGAAAAGTACGACTCAAGAACCAGGCTGATCCTAGGGGATCAAATTTCCGGGTCAGGCCATGAGCATGGTCAGCCCCCAGACCGGGCCAGGTCATGCCAGGCCATATTTTCAGAAAACCTATAGATGTTTACATTCACTTTGAAGGACCCCATCTAGTTTATTAATGCTTGTGAACACTTTAGAACACTTTAGAATCACTTTAGAAGGTTTGCACTTCAGAATGCCTAAAAAACGGACCAAGCTCGAAAATTCCGAAGCTTTGGCCTAGGACGAAATTTCCGGGCCAGACCATGAGCATGAGCACGGCCTGGCTTTGGCATGGCCGGCCATGGCTTATGGCCTCCCTGCTCAAGAAAGCCGGTTGGGTAATGCTCGAAAGCATTATGATACTAACTCTCAATCAAAGGATCGCATTAGTCACTTTCAAATGTATTTTGTTAATCCGGGGTTCAAGATTTTCAAAGTGCGTCTGATTGCACCAGAATAAAAGGACGAATGCCTTTTGTTAAAAGAGTGCTAATTGGGCGATTAGCGGCAGAAAAAAAAACGCATTTTTGGATTATGACGTCAAGTGGTGGAGCAAAGGGTGGAGTAGCGATTCTTCTCACCTCAAAAGCTTTGGTTTAGAGAAGAGAAGGAAAAAATTGGAGAAGAGAAAAGACACGTGTAGAAGTGAAGAGGAAAAAGAGGGGAGACACCCATGTGCTCTCGGTGAGCTCTCCTAAAAAGCGACATAACGGCGAGGAGAAGAAGAACCATGTAGAGAAGGGCCTTTATGAGAGACACAACTCCTCCTCCGCTTCACACCTCTCCATCCCCTACTTCTCCTCTTCTTCTTCTTCTCTTCTTCTTCTTCTCTTCTCCCCCCATATTCTCCTCTCAGATTAGCCTTCAATCTCAATCTCTTGACACATCTCTTCTCCGATTCGGACATTCGTTCCATTATCTCCAAAATTTCCACTTTTTTGAAGCTGTTCTGAAATTTTCGATATAGCCTGGATAGTTTGCTCTCAAAAATTTTCGAAGCTAAAACGAGGAATTGAGATTTTTTATGCATAGAGTTGTGTGAAAATCTGTTTTTTTGTTTGTGATTTCAATTGTGGACATTGCTTGTTCTTTCCTCTATCCCCCCTCCCTTCCACCACTTTTTTTTTTGCCCTTTTACGACTTCCGTCAGCCAACCTTCACTCCTCCTCCTCCTGCCGAATTTCATCGGCCATTGCCCCTTTAACAGCATTATCGATTCAAAATTGCGAATTCCCCCCCAGAAATGATAGAATTTTGAAAATTGCGAATGGAAAAGTGAGCTTGCGACAGGCGCTCAATGGGTTCACCGATAATTTACTCTCTTTTTTCAGACCTGCCCCTATTTGAGCCCATTTTTTCTCTTTTTTTAAGAGTCTTCTCATTACGTAGATGCAGAGTAAAGGATAGAGAAAAGGAGAGCAAAGGAGGGATGATCGTCGTCCCATCATCACCAGATGAGTCCCCCCTTCCCCGGCTGGGTCGAGGCTGGAAAATGAGAGCGCCACACGCACTCATCATCATCTTCACACTATCTCTATCTCTCTCTCTTCAACTTCGATTTGACACTTTTTTATGCTAAGAGGTTTTGAATTGTTCTTCTCTTCTCTTTTCAAGTTACATTTCGCTATTGATTAGAGTTTTTTTTGAGTGATTTTAGTAATGGATTAAGGCTCTTAAAAACCGTTTTCAAAATCCGCGTATCAGCCAAAACTTAGAAAAGAGTGTTTGAAGATTAGGAGGATATTCGGAAAGCTTAGGAAAGGTTTCTTTCATGTTCGCCGAAAGCAGCAACATGGCGTAGAAGATATTGTGCTAGCCCTCCGCGCAATGTTCGACTTTCTGTCTCGAGTTCGAGTCCTCTTCGCAACAAAGGTTTTTGCTTTTTTTGCTAAAGCTCTAAAAACCTTTTTCTGACCACCGAAATACTATTGGGTTGGTGGAAAAGTCCTTTCGGATTTTTCTTTCGGATTTTTTGGGAGAGTACCTTAAATTTGTCCAATTTGACGTTTGACTAAGATTCTGAAAATGCGTGTCTAGGGGTTATTTTTGACGCCGATCACGAAACACATGTTTTTAGCCTAGGTTTCTGCACGGAAAACTAACGAAACGTGAAAACAGCCTTTTTTTTTGGTTTTTTGGCTCTGCCGCCCTTTACTAAAATAGTTGTAAAAACTTTTAGAAAAGAGATATCTCAAAACGGTTTTTACCAATCGATCCGTCTTGAATTCAGCTTTAGGATGAGCTATAAAACGTCAAAATTGGACAAATTTAAGGTACTTTCCCAAAAAATCCGAAAGGACTTTTCCACCAACCCAATAGAAACGATACTTATCGGTTATACCCCCGGCATGGCATAAATCTACCATCCTCTTGATATAGCACTACTGTAAATACTGTAAAGACTCTAATAGAACAGCCCCCTATAGGAGGGTCGTGTAGTCTAAGTTTACTCTCAAACAGACGCTTATATCTCGACACCAGTACGTTTGTTTCTGCTCGCTTAGGTATCAAATTAAAGTAGAGGGGATGGATGATTTTTTTTTGAGATATAACAGATATTTTTATCATTAACCAGCGCTTAGAAAAAATGATTGAAAAGTGGCAAAAAAAAAAGAGTTGATAGTGTTTCGTGTGTGTTTCATGTGTTTCGTGATCGGCGTCAAAAATAACCCCTAGACACGCATTTTCAGAATCTTAGTCAAACGTCAAAATTCGACAAATTTAAGGTACTCTCGCAAAAAATCGGAAAGGACTTTTCCACCAACCCAATAGTTTCATCGAAAAATTTCATCGTTTACATTTCTTTCATGATAAAAATGATTAATAATTTGACTTTATTATGTAATTATTTATTTATTTATTTATTTATTTATTACGTAAAAAGCTTAAGCTTAAAAAGCCAAAGCTTTTAAAAGCTATCCGCGGAAATCAAATCCCTGGAAATCCCTGTAAGGACTTACAAGAGCGTTCTTGAGTTTGAAGAGAAGGAACATCTTGAGTGATTGAGCTTTCGGTGATTTGATTGGGTTGAGAAGTGAAATCATTGCTTTTTACTCATTTCATTTGTACATTTAAGCCAATTTCAAGAGTTCTGAGAGAAAAAAATAATTCAAACATTTACGTCAAAACGTGTGCCTCCAATTACCGTACTGTTCTCATAAAGACGATATCTCAACAACGAGATTTCTATTTTATATTTCTCCTCATTCTATAGATAATGCTATCTCTTTTTTCCCCTTTCCTTATAACCCAAGCAACTATTTGTTCATCTCTATCTATTTCCACTCGACGATCATCGATGGGGTGAGGGCCATCTTCCCCCTCCCCCCTTCCTCCCCTTCCCCTTTCCCCCTACTTCTTCCCCTCCTGAGCACTAATTGAAGTAATTCAAAGCTTTTTTTTCGCCTCTTCTCTTTCTTTTTTCACTTCTCTCCCAATTTCCTTTCTCTTTTCTGTTCATTTTCCCATTCGTTATCCATCCCAGGGTCTTTCTTTCCCCTCTCGACTCATCCTTGTTGCCCTCTTGCCAAAAATGGCTTAACCCCGCTAAAAAAAACCCTTTTCCCCGTTTTTTCTTTTCTTTGTGATCTTCAAAAACTTGCATTTCAAAGAGGGTCTTCTCAGCTTTTTTTTTCCCTTTTTTCTTTTCTCGATCTACCCCAGTTCCCTTTTTGGGTCATTAAGTCACCCTTGTAGACAAATGAATGGGGATCCTTTTTACAGAAAAGCATCTTTATCTATTGTTTTAATCAAAAATAACTTTACTTTCTTTCATTTATAATTGAAGTTTTTTGGTTTTAGACTCTAGATTCCACGGGATTCCAATGTTTGATGTACTTGTAGAGGTGTTCAATGAACTGTTCATGGGGATCCTTTTTAGAGAACTTTATCTATTGTTTTAATATCTATAGAAAAGCATCTTTATCTATTGTTTTAATCAAAAATAACTTGACTTTCTTTCATTTACAACTCAAGTTTTTTGGTTTTAACTCTAGACTCCACGGCATTCCAATGTTTGATGTACTTGTAGAGGTGTTCAATGAACTGTTCATAGACGAATGACCCCTTCTATTCCTTGTAGAGGTGTTCAATGAACTGTTCATAGACGAATGACCCCTTCTATTCCTTGTAGAGGTGTTCAATGAACTGTTCATAGACGAATGACCCCTTCTATTCCTTGTAGAGGTGTTCAATGAACTGTTCATAGACGAATGACCCCTTCTATTCCTTTCAATCCCCTTTCATATCCACTTCAAGGAAAAAAAGGTGGCAATCTTCTCAGATTTCACCTTCTTCTTGAAAGAACATCGAAAATTTTTGTGTTGCTCTAGATCTTGAAAAGCATTTTTTTAGTTTTATTCGTTATTCTTTTCTCCTTTTCCCTTTTCACCACGCCCGGAAGCTCAAAAAATTTTTGAAACTTGAAATTTTATGATCCAGAAAACTCAACGAATTTTTCGTTTCATTGAGTCGAACACTTACAGAA